GCCAGCAGCCTGCCATTTTCTTCAAGTCTTCATGGAATACATGTGTAGGCTAAGCCTTGGGCTCTTTAATTCTAGATGAACGGCTATCAGAAGAAGATCAAAGATGCTACTGAAAAACTGATGGCTCTTGTTGCTGAGCTATCCATGAAACAAGCTCTGGCCATCGAACTCCAAAAGGAAGTCAGGGAGAAAGAAGACTTCATCTACTCTTGCAATTCCAGGATAGAAAAGGGCCTGCCACTCAATAAAGAGATTGAGAGAGAATGGTTGAAGGTACTTCGAGATGAAGAAATGTATGCATTGGCCACCGCTGAGAAGTCTCAGGTAAGTTTTGGCTCCCATGTTGCGTTTGTCAATTGAGCCAGGAAGGGCGGTTTTCAGGGTATCAGTCATCCCAACATATGAAAATTTCCCATTCAACCACACACATAGTCCCCACAGTCATTAGAAGAAAGTTTGTGTTTTTTAAGATATTATGTAGACAAATTAAAGTACAACAGTTCCAAGTGCTGCAATATTCCCTGGAGAATGCTTTCAAGCACCAAGTCCCACCCCACAGTCCTATATCCTGGGCTAATGTGGCATAACCATGGCCTCCCACTGGCATGACAATGCTCATGAGTCTCCAATCTCTGTCCCTGCACCCTTGCTCGTACCACACCTGACTCTTCCATGTCCATCTGCTGTGGCTTCCACAGCATATTGTGAGACCTCCAGACATATTATGGTTGTCACCTCTTGCAGACACCGACCTGGGGTACACCACAGACCTCAGTGCCACATATTTCTTCTTCTGCCACTGTCCTAAGCTTATATCCATTGACTCCACTCTTGAGTTGGGTACCCAGTTCTGCCTAGCCCCACGACCTTTCAATATTCCTAGAATGAAATTGGGCATCTCTTTCTAAGGAGACTACATCCTGAGAGCTATACAACTCACCCTTAGACTATCAAGTAGATGTCCCCAGAAGGATCACCGTTCACTCCCTGACCCAAGAACATAACGCATTTCAGACACACACTAAGAACACCTGGCAACAGGGTCTGGTTTGTAATTCCCCCACTGCCTGGGACTACACTTTTTAGGGCATTCAGATTTTACGTATGGTGTCCTGGCTGTCATTCACCTGGCTCCAGTCTCCTGAATTCTTTTTAGCATCATAAGAATTATTCTTTTCCCAGAGGCACAGTAAAAACTTCGAGGACCTTGAGGTTCAAAGCAAGCTGCTGACTACTTTTCTCCTCTGGTTTCATTTTGTTCCTAACCTCTTCCTTTATTAAGTCATTTGTGAGCAAATGTTACCAAAGGAAATATATTGTCCTCCCTTTTCCAAAACATTAGTGTTTGCTGAAAGATTCTGAGAATGGAATATAGTCAATATAGGACCCACCAAGCAGTTTTTGATAAACCTTAAACCCCAGGCACAGTGTGGCACCCATTCCAGTGAGATGCAATGTGTGTGTACATGCATGTGTGTGATACCCTTCTGGGGGTGTCAGTCAGTAGCCTAAGGCTGATCAGACCCAGCTGGGTGTGTTGGGTCCCCGAGGATGAAGTGACTTCACCAGAGCTTTCAGAAAACTGAAAAGGAAAAAATCATTCTTTGCAGGAGTTCTCGGAAGCAGACAGTCGCCAGCTTCCCAGTGGTGTTTACACGACCGCGGAGCAGCGTCCCAATGCCTACATCCCAGAGGCAGATGCCACTCTGCCTTTGCCAAAACCATACGGTGCCTTGGCTCCTTTTAAACCCAGTGAACCTGGGGCAAACATGAGGCACATAAGGAAACCTGTTATAAAGCCAATTGAAATCTGAATATATGCACCAATCCAGGCTTCCCAAGGATACACCTCAACCAGGCTTCCTCCCACCCACAATTGGAAAATGTGAGCACGAGAGTCCTAAATTACAGACAAAAAAGAAACCCAAAATTAATCAACAACAGAGCACAACATTGCTTCCTTTACGCCCACCAACTACTATATTTTACATGATGCTGAGTAGGACATAGAATTGTCATACAATTATGTCAACATATATTTGAATTGCTCATGTCTTTCTTTTTTTCACTCTATATATTACCTGTCAGAACTATACAGTAGATAAGGTGCTATAACAATGCAATGAAAATAAATTTTCAGTGAGGCACAGAAATTGGCAGAGTGGTCTTTATTTATTTAAAAAAAACAAAACTGTTCAACATACTCACTTTAAAGAAAAAGACAGAGCGATTGTTTGAAAAGAAAAATATCCCAATCACTGCAGAGGCATAGCTCACTTTGTTGAATAAGAAGTTGCACTTGGAGTTAATGCTGGTAAATCTAAATCATGTAAAAAGCAGTAGTGAAGCTTATCATTTTTTTAGTAACATTCTGTGATTCTTTTTAAAAAGAATCCTTTTGCTACAAAAATACTTATGCCCTAATTTATCTCCATTATAAATCCATATTTTTCAAATAAACTCATGAAAATTTTCATACCAGATTTTTCAGAATCTCATTAGAAGTATTTATAACTTTGCATGTTTAAGAGTTGAAAATGGGGCCTGTTCCACTTATTTCATTGCTCTATTTTTGTTGTATTTCACCTGAATATATTTTCCTAATTGTTTTTCTATTCTCACGTATGAAAGCACACAAGTGGATTTGAAAAGTGATTTTACTTTCACTAATATTCTGAAATACCAGAAAGACGTTTACTTGTGTTTTATTGACTATGCAAAGGCATTTGACTGTGTGTTATAACAAATTATGGATAACAGTGCAAAGAATGGGAATTCTGAAACACTAAATTGTGCTCATAAGGAAGCTGTACATAGATCAAGAGAAGGTTGTTTGAACAAAACAAGGGGATACTGTGTGGTTTAAGTCAGGAAAGGTGTGCGTCAGGGTTGTATCCTTTCACCATACTTACTCAATCTGTATGCTGAGCAAATAATCTGAGAAGCTGGACCATATGAAGAAGAATGTGGCATCAGGATTGGAGGAAGACTCATTAACAACCTGCGATATGCAGATGACACAACCTTGCTTGCTGAAAGTGAAGAGGACTTGGAGCACTTACTGATGAAGATCAAAGACCACAGGCTTCAGTATGGATTACATCTCAACATAAAGAAAACAAAAATCTTCACAACTGGACCATTAAGTAACATCATGATAAATGGAGAAAAGACCGAAGTTGTCAAGGATTTCCTTTTACTTGGATCCACAATCAACACCCATGGAAGCAGCAGTTAAGAAATCAAAAGACGCATTGCATTGGGCAAATCTCCTGCAAAAGACCTCTTTAAAGGGTTAAAAGCAAAGATGTCACCTCGAAGACTAAGGTGCGCCTGATCTAAACCATGGTGTTTTCAACAGCCTCATATGCATGGGAAAGCTCGATGATGAATAAGGAAGACCAAAGAAGAATTGATGCCTTTGAGTTGTAGTGTTGGCAAAGAATATTGAATATATCACGGACTGTCAAAAGAACGAAAAAATCTGTCTTGGAAGTACAACCAGAATGCTCCTTAGAAGCAAGGATGGCAAGACTATGTCTCACATTCTTTGGACATGTTGTCAGGAGGGAACAGCCCCTGGAGAAGGACATCATGCTCGGTAAGGTAGAGGGTCAGCAAAAAAGAGGAAGACCCTCAGTGAGATGGATTGACACAGTGGCTGCAACAATGGTCTCAAGCATCACAATGATTGTGAGGATGGTGCAGGACTGGGCAATATTTCGTTCTGTTGTATAAATAGGGTCGCCATGAGCTGGAACCAACTTGACAGCACCTAACAACAACAATATTCTGAAGCTATCTTTATTTCATATTGGTAACAGTAATTAATTTTATTTCACAACTCTGGGAGTGAAAAATATCGCATTCCTTTATTTTGCTAAATCAAACAAGATCTGTTCCAAACTCTCATCCTGCCAGATTGGAGAGAAATTTAATCTCGTTCTCAGATTTTGAGTCCTGAATCTAACCTGATTGCTTCATGAAGTCATTATAAAGGAATTATTTGGGAGTACTGTGGTGCAAATGGTTAACCCACTTGGCTGCTAACAGAAAGGTTGGAGGTTCAAGTCCACCTAAAGGCACATCGAAAGAAAGGTCTAGTGATCTACTTCTAAAAAATAAGCCACCGAAAACTTTATGGATCACAGTTCTACTCTGCCACTCAGGGGTCGCCGTGAGTTGGAATCGACTTGAATCTACTGGTTGTTGTTGTTGTTAAGTGCCATCGAGTCCATGTACAACAGAAAATAACATTGCCCGGTCCTGTGCCATCCTCACAATCCTTGCTGTGTTTGAGCCCATCCTTGCAGCCACTGTGTCAATGGCTGAGCCAGTTGACAGTCTTCCTCTTTTTCACTGACCTACTTTACCAAGCATGATGTCCTTCTCCAGGGACTGGTCCCTACTGATAACATGTCCAAAGTATATCAGACCGAGTCTCGCCATCTTAGTTTCTAAGAAGCATTCTGGCTGTACTTCTTCCAAGACAGAACTATTCGTTCTCTGGCAGCCCAGGCTTCGCCAGTATTCTTCGCCAATCGCAGTAAGAACTTACTTATAAGTAAGGAGTATTTTGGAAAGTATTAAGGGAGAGAATCATCATTGCCTTGTTGATTTGGCTCCAAGATTTTAAGCCTCAGTGACCATGAAGTATTTGACCAAAAAGGGAAATTCTGTAAGTGGGGATAATTTCTAGAACATGATGATTTTAGAAAAGAAGTTGAATTATTATACTAGCTAATATTTATAATCATTAAAATTTTACAGATTCACTGAGGGAAACAGTGTGACAAGAGAAAAGCAAGGGATTATGGGCTGAGCCCAGGCAGCAACTGTATTTATGGGTCAGAATGAAGTCACTGTAGAAGAGAGAAAACAAAAAGAAAATTAGGTGTCATGGGGCCATTGCAGGGATATGTTAATGAACTCTTGATTCCTGGCTGGAATAATAGGACTGTATTCAAAGAACAGGAAGAGTCAGGCCAAAATTTTCAGTGTTTTATTTTTTCTTTTCTTTTTTTTTTTTTTTTAATGACTAGACATTACTAAATCAAACTTTTATAAATATAAAAAAAACCTTAAAAAATTTAAACACAGTTCCATCTGAACCATCACAAAGACAAACTGTACTCCAAATACTGTATGTACAAACTAATATATGTTATAAATTATTCTATACTGGAGATAGAAGATTTCATTTAGTCCAAATCCCGTTTTTTTGCAAGTCTCCTCTATCCAAATAGAGTTTTTATGTAACATTTAATTTTTCTTAGTATATGTTCTTTACAAAGACACATCTAGTTTATGCTTTTCAAGGACTGTTCCCTGCATTTTTAAAGCATGTTTTATTTCAGAGTGCAAAGAGACTAGTTTGGGGCCTATTAGGCCATTAGTAAAATAATTCTCTGAAGAGCATCATTTATGCCATTTTATGCCTCTTGGCATAGTGGTTAAGAGCCTGGCTGCTAACCAAAAGTTTGGTGATTCAAATCTACCAGCCGCTCCTTGGAAACCCTATGGGGCAATTCTACTGTGTCCTATAGGGTCGCTGTGAGTGGGAATTCACTCAACAGGGATGAGTTCTTTTTTTTTTTTAAATGCCTCTTTGGACTTTTTATCATTTCTCTATACTTGACTGCTCACCTGATGTTTAAAATTGGGGTGAGGTACAGCAGTTTAGCTCTGTCTAAACAAGTACCAAACTGCAGTTCAGATGGCTCAAGAATATATTCTGATTATTATCAACAATTTTAAATATTGTTAAAGCGAGATTAAAATATTGGAAGCTGATTTAACTGCATTTGCTCTTTTATAAGCCTAAAAGCATTGTGGTGTGTTTCAGAGCTGCTTCCCCTACAAATTTTGCATCCACATTGTCATGTCCTTCAAAAGCATACAGAGCTGGAAAAAAAAGAGAAAAGAGTTACTATGAAGCCAAGGAACACATAACTTTGTGCCCTCAAATCCAACTGAAACCATAATAATTTTATATTTTAATAAAACATTACTCAGAGAATATGTTGTTAAAATTGTATATTACATATAATCTACATTATATGTATTGTAAAATAATAATGTTGTTGTTGTGTAATAACAAATATTAAACCTGAGCACCAAGAAAGGGCATTCACATCAACCAAATGGACTTTAAATTCTTTTAAAAGTTCAGTCTGGTGATTTATTCCTTTGGTAGTTTACTCTAGGTAGTAAATTGTGTATTGCTAATTAAAGCCAATTGCAATAAGGACCTACTTAGAAGTAAGGAGTATTCTGGAAAGAAGAAGGTCCACAGTTGTGAACTGGGGATTACTGGTATGTCAAGGGAAAAGCAGGAAAGCCCTGAGGACCCAGTTACCTTGATTGGAGGACTCAATGTCTGTCAGTATGTCAATGAAGTAGTTCAGAGGCAGAAATTCTACACTGAATGATGACTTGTCAGTCATAGAATCCCGAGGCTAAAAGGGAAACCACCCTGGTATTAGTTGATTTTCCAAAACAAGCACACATTTAAGTAAGGTGATAATTACAATTGCTGCTCATATGGATATGTTGCAATTTGCAAATAGGATCCAGAAACATTTAGTGCGGCTGTGCTTTCATACACACTCACCTGTTTCTTATAGTTCTGAAGCAATTGCTTCACATGATTCCGTGAAATAATATTGGAACTCATAGGATGATCCCAAAGTCGACTGATCTTCTGACCAATAAGCTATTGAGCAAATAGAAAAATACACAAAGAATATATCTCATTCCACATTAAATAAATTTATATTATATCTTTTCATAATGTTAAAAATATTATTCCGAAGTATTTACTTAGTTTAAAAGACAGGCACTTTAGAGTTAACAGACCCTTGGAGAAAGGCCATGTTTCTATGAGATATGCTTCTGGATTTTGAATAAATGCTCCCTCAACTGCTACCCTGAGGAAGGCAGTTTATACACTGATGATGCCAAATTTCTTTTCTGACATGGAATTCATCTGCTACTCTTCAAAAGTGGGGATTTGCATGCCAGCCCTAACTGATGTTTTGACAGGAAACTAAAGGTAGTAAGTATATTTGTATCAACTTCTATGCCAGTGTCTTGCCCAGAAAACTTTAATTCCCTTAGACTATGAGGCAGAAAATAAAATTTGAAGATGAAACTAAATGTTTAGAGATATTCCCTAGAGAGATCTAGCCATGGAAAATATGCTTTGTTTTCTGTTTTTGCCCTTGCTTCAGTAGTGAGGGGAGGGACTGTTACAAAGCAAGCCCGTTAGGTTCAGAAAGGCAGCAGACATCCCTTCCAGGGAGGATGGGAAGGCTCCTGCCAGAGAGACAAGTGCTCAAGGTATGTAAACAGCAGCAGAGCTGGCCAAGGCTTTTAGGGTCAGGAAGTTCGGGGACTCAGAGGCTCTGAAGACCTTGCCTGGAATTTCATATTTTCATAGTATTTCTGACTAAGATAGCTAAGATCCCACCATAAAAACAAGGAGTGCCTTTCTAACTCTCTTTCAGGTCTCTCATTCTTCCTTTGACCTGGGAATGTTTTCCTGCTCTGGTGGAAACCATAGTAGGAGGAAATACAGTTCCAGAACCTTCTGACCTTACCTGTATTTAAATTTCTTATCAGTTTAAATGCCAAAATCACATGCTTCCCCTCAGACTCACAGCTGTAAATATTAGTGTAGTTTGCTAAGAGGAGAAAATGTCCAGATCTCCCAGGTGGGCTGTGCCAAGACAATTCAAAGCCAGAGGAGCAAAGCACTTTGTAGGCCCAGTGGGGAACAGCAGACAGGGGTGGGGACGGATGGGGTTTCTTGGAAAGGACTGAAAAATGAAACAATTCAGTTGACTTTAGCTCAAAGGAAGTACATGCTCTTTGTCCAAGAAGAAATTAAAGGAGGCCCATCCCAAGGCTTAAGGAGAAAATAAAATATAATTCAGGATTACCGGAGGAAGCCGTGCAATGATGCTAAATTTTAGTTTTTCATTCCTCTCTGTATTATCCAGATCTACAAGAAAGTCAGAGATTGGCAAACAAAACAAATCTCCATTTTAATACCTCAGCAAGTCAGTTAATACTTTAGCAGCTTATACTGATAACCGCATATACCAACCCTTGTATTCTCAAGCTAAAATCTAACACGTTGAAAATATTTCCGTTTTCATCTCTCTGAATAAACAGGGATTTTTAATAAGCATTCTTATGCTGCCAGTGACAAAGCAATTGTGTTGACTAATTTAAAACAAAAGGCACTTTGAGGAATGGTAAATGCTGTACTATATATTAACAAAACTCATCTATAAAATACCACAAGTGAATAATGTGAGAGTAATTATACTACAGACCTTACTTAAAGTTCAAATTCAAATAAGCACTGTATCTCATTAATTTTTCTTGCATTTGAAATCAAACTTTGAAATGATAGCATTAATCAGTTGAAAGTAAGCCATTTCACTGACACTTTCTTGAGAAACAAACCTACAATCTCCTAGCCTCAAGTACTCTTCGTGTACAAAAAAAAGGAATCTAATAGCTTTACGTGGATTAAGATGCCCTTTGGGGCCTCTTGAAGACCTAAAGCACTTTAAATTGGTCCACTCAGGAAAGAAGATGTTTACAGGAAATCAACTGTACTCAGCAAGACTGGCTACATAATTTGCAAGGTCTACTGCAAAATGAAAATGAGGGGCCCCTTATTCAGAATATATTAAAATTTCAAGACGGCAGCAGCAGATATTTAACCAAGCTCAGGGTCCTTCTGAGTACAGCAAGGCCCCATGGGACTGCACAGGTCGTACATCCATGAAGCTGGCTCTGGTGGTGCTCAGACTGGAACTGGTACTCTGGCAAATGTAAAGCCTCTTACCTTTCACAAGCCTTGTAACAGCTGTTTCTGTGAGCAGCAACACTCCATTATCAATGTAATGCAGCAGGTTATGCAAAGGGAGACAGTGGACACCAAGGACCATGTGCAGAGTGTGAAAACCTAGGATGAGAGATCCAAGAAAGTCAACGTGGTCAGTTAGCATCTCCAGCCTTCCAGAGGGAATGAATTAGATGATGTTAATAAAGCTCTTAGTTCAGTGCTTGGCACGTAGAGCCAACTAAATGTTCCTTGAGAACGAGGACCAGGTTTTTTAGTTCGTATTATCAAGACTAAGTATAGTGCTGGGTATATAGTAAGTTTCCAGTAAGTATGTATTCCCTTCACCTGTGTCCCACCCCAGGTAGAAAGAGGGCAATGCCTGCTCAATGAAAATTGGTCTACAGTGTAATGTGTTTGCAATTCTATGGCAAGATGGCAAAAGAGAGCAATTAACAGAAGAGCTTCAAACTCCATTTGCCCAGGCTAAAAGGCTGATGGATGGGGACCATTTTGTCAAAGGGGGAAAAAAACTGGACCAGAAAGGAGTAGTTTATAAAATGACTAAGAACCTAAAAAGAAATACTTTTGGACTTATACACCCAGTCCCAACTTATGAAGACCCGAATTATTAATGCTCTTTATATGCCTGATCTCTGGGTGTGCCTTAGGGAAAGCTTTTGTAGTCTACTTGGACTAAATTATAGAAAAGAAATAATGAAAATGATATGCCCAGAGAGCAAATCTACAGGAATTCAATAGAGAGGTAGGTACTCTCTCAAAACATCTATAAAATCTTCACAAACCTAAAACGCAAAGTACATTCTTAGTAACAAAAGATAAAATCAACATACACTGGAGAAGGTATCAGCCCAGGGAAGAATCAGAAGAACCCTCCTGGAGAAGACAGCATTTGCAGGGAGCTTTCTGAAGGATAAATAAAATTCCAAGGAGTGGAAATGAAGCAAAAGAATCTACTGAGCGGAGACAGTGGAGAAAAAAATAGGCTCAGAATGAACAGACCTGGGCTAGCCTCCTGCTGTGCTACTTACTAGCTATAGGTAACTAAGCCTTTTTTGAGCCTTGGTTTCTTCATCCCTAAAATGAAGTCATCAGTACCTTATGGCAGGGCTGTTCAAATACTAGAACTAGGTCTATGAAGAACCTAGCACATGGTTTTCCAACAGCGACTAATAACGGAGCAGGTGCTGAGGGCTTTCATCTGTCCTGGCTCATTTGATCGTCATGCAACATTATACAGTGGGAACTAACAGATTCTCATCTTATAGATGGGGAACCAAGACACACAGAAGCTAAGAAACCTGCCCAGAGTCGTATAAATGGTTAAGTTGTTGTTGTAGCAGAGTTGACATTTGAACTCAGGCACTCAGATTTTAGCCTCGGCTTTTAACCATAACATTATCCTGTCTCCATAACTGGTAGCTGGGTTTATGGAACAATGTGCACAGAGGCCCAAAGGTGAGAAAGTATGGGGTACATTTAAGTAAATAAATAAATAAATCAAATGATCCAGTTCAGCTGGAACCTTGTGTGAGGGTGAAGGAATGATGAGAGGTAAGTTTGGAAAAGGTAAAGTTTATTTGACAACTCCCTCCCATGTACTGGGCCCTGGGCCAGGAGTACAATAATGAGCAACAGGTACGACTGCTGCTCCCATATGCCTTACAGACCATCAAGTGATTAAAAAAATATAGTTATTTTTAAAATGTAACCAGTCCTATAAAGAAAAAGTACAGGGTGCTGTGAGAACGTGTGACAGGGGCTGAGATCATAGTCTTATTGAAGAGAATGCAGAATGACAGCAAAGAATTTATTACTTAATTTAGAAGACTCTGGGGAGGCACTGAAGGTTTTTGAGCAGGACATAGGGAAATAATTTGAGCTTTACTTTTAGAATATTAATATGGCAACAGGCATAGAATAGATTGAGTAATTGCTTGCTACAGGAGGTAAGAAGACCTGTTGGGCAGCTATTGTTGGAACCCAGGCCAGTGGTAGTAAGGGTGCTGCCAGTGAAAGGGGAAGGAAGGGATTGGAAAAGATGACCACGTGTATTGGCAAATCATTGGATGTGGGTGGAGAATGACGGAGAAGAATTATAGCCTAATGTTAGGCGCTTACATGACAGAGGAATGATGCCCAAAGAGCAGGGACTTGGAGTCAGAGAAATCATAGCATTTTCCCCTCTCACTCAGCAGATGAATCATGAGCAGTGGGACAGTCCTAAGTCCTGGCAACACCAAGGGTCAGTTAAAATGCAAACTCTGCCCGCAAGTACTTGTTAATGAGCTGACAATAAGATGAGTATGCTGGTTTCTCTGAATCCAAAAGCAGTGATTTTATTAGCTAACCAGATAAGATTTCCAAATGGATTTGCCTTTGGAAATTCATCCCAAGATTAGAAAAAGTTATGAAAAAATTATTTCTGAAGAAAAGTTTATAATAGATTATTGGTCCTATAGATTTCCTAAGGCACCCTGGTGGCACAGTGGTTAAACACTTGGCTGCTAACAGAAAGGTCAGCGGTTAGAACCCACTAGCCACTCCACGGGAGAAAAATGTAGCAGACTGCTTTCATAAAGATTACGGCCTCGGAAACCCCATGAGGCAGTTCTACTCTGTCCTGTAGGGTCGCTAGGAGTCAGAATTAACTCGACAGCAACAAATTTTAGATTTCTTGGATTCAAAATTCCTTCTCCAGCCCTGTGTCCAGGTCCTAAGGGTCCCTGGATTACCCTTTGCCCTCTCTCCCTAAGTCACAGTCCAAAATTTAGCAGCCATCCTTGGCCTCCTCTCTGCATGTCAGCTCTAAGCAGCAGAGCAAACTGGCTAAAACTAGGCATCAGTTCTGGAGGAGAACACTTTTCCATCCAAAAGCAGTCCTCATCTTCCAGCACTTCTGGCCTCCTCTAGCCAGAGAGGGGAACACAGGTCCCTTTTAAATAGCAGATTTTCCAGCTTGAAACCACGACTTCTTTTTTGTGTTCCTCATTGCCTTTTTCTCCTTAACCAATTCAGGTTACAAATTTCTGACATTTGGAACTCAGATAGTTCAATAGTTTGAGTAGTACTGTATTTTTTATGCAAATAATACATTCTACGTTTGTTTTGCCAACCACACCCTACCCCCTGAGGTATTTTAGTAAGCGCACTATGCCAATTTATTTTTACATAAAAAAAAATTAGCATAGCACACTTCTGAAAATACCTCGTGTTGGGGGTGGGGAGCATGGATGGCAAACAAACGTAGACCGTGCATGTTATTTGTGTAAAAATACAGTAGTCCAGTAGGCCTGGAAAACAAGTATACTTACCCATCTACACATACCAATACCCTGTATTTATACACACAAGCACACATACACGAACGATCCAGTGTCACTCACCTCATCCCCACCTCTATTTCCACGTCACATGAGGTGCAGTGGGTTAAAGAGTGTTCCCCCAAAGTTCGTATCTACCTGGAACTTCAGAATGTGACCTTACTGGGAAACAGGGTCTTTGCAAATGTAATTATTTAAGAATCTCAAGATAAAATCATCCTGGATTTAGGGTGGACCCTAAATCCAATGAACAGTGTTCTTATAAGAGGAGAGGACACAGAGAGAGGCAAGGGGAAGACGGCCACGGGAAGACGGCTGACACAGCCGTTACATCTACACTAATAATTCTCACTAATAATTCTCAATCACTACAGATAACATTTTTCTATGTTTTCCCTCCTTATCCCTGTAAAGAAATGAAAGTTCTGTAGAAAGTGGATTTTTACAATCTTCCAGGCATAATATTGTCCCCAGTAAGACAGTTTCATTTAGTAATAAAAGGGGCTTAAACACCCATGGTGGGCAAATCTGAAGCCATCAATCTGTTCCTCTACCAAGTTTTTGTGTTAATGATAACTAGAATTTAAGCCAGAAAACAATAAAGAGTTTTCATGAAATTCCTTCACTCTTTCTAGAGGGCACCTCACAATTCATATTCCATTGGGATAATTTCAGATGCCTACAAAGTTAATGGAAACTCCTTTTGTGCCTCCATCTACAAACAGACCTTATAAAGTGAGGTGTATAGATGGAGGAATCGTGTCTGTCAGTTTGTCGTATGGTGGGGGCTTGTGTGTTCCTATGATGCTGGAAGCCATGCCACCAATATTCAAATACCAGCAGGGTCACCTATGGCAGACAGGTTTCAGCTGAGCTTCCAGACTAAGACAAGGAAGAAGGACCCAGTAGTCTACTTTGAAAAGGATTAGCCAGTGAAAACCTCATGAATAGCAGTGGAACACTGTCTGATATAGTGCCGAAAGATGAGCCCCTTAACAATGGGCTCAAGTATAACAGTGATTGTGAGGATGGCGCAGGACCTGGCAGTGTTTGGTTCTCTTGTACACAGGGTCGCTATGAGTCGGAACAGACTCAACGGCAGCTAACAACAACAACAGATGGAGGAATTGAGAAGGATTCTAAACTACAACAAACACGTCACAAATGCAGAGAAGCTGAGATGTGCTGAGGGGATTCTTTGTGCCCAGAAATAATCAATGTTTCAACATCAACTAATTGAAATAGAATATAAAACTCAAGAGGTAACACAGAAAAAGTAGTTAAAAACAGATATTTTGAGTCAGACTGCCTGGATTTAACACTGGCTCTGTCACTTGATAGCTGTGTGACTTTAGGCAAGTTACTTAACCTTTCTGTGCCTCTGAAAGGTTGTGAAATGGAAACAATTAGGAGGAACCATGTGAAAGTGCTATTTTTGTTAGTCCAAAAAAAATGGTTGGATATCGACAATTTAGGAGCTCTGATGGCGTAGTGGTTAAGGGCTTGGCTGCTAACCAAAAGGTCGGCAGTTCAAATCCACCATCTGCTCCTTGGAAACCCTATGGGAGAGTTCTACTCTGTCCTATAAGGTTGCTATGAGTCGGACCCGACTCTATGGCACCTAACAACAACAACAACATTGACAATTTAATGTAGTTCAATCTAAATTCCTATAACTTTGAGTTGTTATGAAAATTAAATGTGTTCATTTATGTGAAGTATTTAGAACAATATCTGGCACAAAATGATTACCACGTAAGTGTTAGTTTAAAATAAACAAAAGAAAGAACAAATGAATGATGGCTGGATAAAAAAAAACAAAACCAAACCACTGCTGTCGAGTCGATTCCGATTCATAGTGACAGAGTAGGACAGAGTAGCAGAGTAGAACTGCCCCATAGGGTTTCCAAGGCTGTAAATCTTTATGGAAGCTGACTGCCACATCTTTCTCCCTTGGAGCGGCTGGTAGGTTCAAACCGCTGACGTTTTGGTTAGCAGCTGAGCACTTAACCACCGTGCCCCCAGGGCTCCATTTAATGGATAGATAGATGGATATGGATGAATGAATGAATTAAGTAAAACCAGCTGATATATATTATGTAGCGGTAGATATCGTAAAGCTGAACACTTACCAGAACTTATATATAATAAACACAAGGCAGGTAGTTTATAGCAAACAGGAACTTACTTATTTCTTATAGTGAGCAGTGATTTATATGCACATCTTCCCAACTAGACTTTTGTTAATCTTTGTAACTGCACAGTTCTAGCACAGTACATGGCACGTAATAGTTGCTCAACAAATAGTTGTTGATTGAATGGAAAAATGACCAATTGAATGACTACATGACGTGTCCCAGTGGCTGCTTTGAGGCCTGACTTGATTCTGTTTCAGAATCCTACGGGAAATTCTTTTAGCTTCCAAGCACATAAGAATCAGCTCAAATCTTGGCACCCAGCCAGACCCACTTCCTTCGGTGTGTTAATCTTCAGACATCTCATATAAACAAGGCCTGGAAACATCAGAGAAAGCGAGCTCCAGGGTTGCCCTAAATCAGCTCCACTGGTTCAAATTATCCTAGAAAGTTGCACGGGACCAACGTATGCTCCCTAAACTTGGCTCCAAGTTATGGTATAGTTTAACAGTCAGGGGAGATCTGGTCATCAGAGACCAACCCTCAGGCCTGTCTCTCACAGTGACACCAGACACACAACTTCTCACACACAGGCTTTCTCATCATGAAATTCATGATGTGCCAAAGTCCAGGGGGCATGTGAAGAAGAAAAAAAGAAATTATTACTCCAAAGAATAAAAGAGACAAGACTTACCAGGAGGCAGAGGTAAAAACAAACTGTTGGTAGCTTCCAAAATCCTGGTCATGAGGTGAAAGACTGCAAACTCAGCAGCACTGCCACGCCTATCACTGGGTAACAGTACAAAGCAACATGTCAGCCAAGAGCTCATTGCTAAACACCCTTCTGTCCTAAGCAGTGGCTGTAAGTACCACATACGAGGGCTTTCATGCTAACCACATGCCCTGTAGAAAGCCCCATAAATATGACAACTACCACCAGTCCAGTGCCTAGAGTCTAAGCAGACAGTAGGCACATAAATTATAAATTATGTTAATGTAAATTCCCTTTCTTGGCAGCACTGAACTCATGTGTTCCCTCCCCCCTCATCAACTATATGCCAAGGAAGGATGATGGGTGAAGTGACGGTCATAACATTAAAGGCTGTGTACACAGCTAAGATAGATGGGGTTGGACTGGTGAGAACAGCTTTGAACTGGTAAGTTTACAACATGTTTTGCCAAAACAGGCAGCAATCAGGGCTCTGCTGGCTCTTTGTACACATGATAAAGAGAGTGAGAAATACTTGCGTACAAGTGTAGAACCCAGGGATGAAGATTATGTTTCCTCCAACTGGCTTCCAATATGCAGCAAATGAGATCCAGCTAGAGGGCAAGGACAGCGGTTAACCTCTGCTTGCACCTTTCCCTCGTGGCCCCGCAGTGACCCCTCCACAGCTCTAACAGGCAAGTTCAGGGCAGTGGGCATCGAGGCTGCAGCCAGGACCCAGACCAGCCTTCCTGAGGTCAGTTCTGAGGCACTGGAATCCCAAATGGAAAGACTGAACCTGAGGCTAACACAGCAGGCTCTGTCTGTATGGACAATGTCCCCAGCTAAGCTTCCCCAGCCAGCTAACTGGCCGTGCAGGCCTTCGTCCATCAGTGAAGGTCAAGTGCTGCTGGGTTTTCTCTAAGTCTGCAGCTAGTGCCAACAGCTACCAGTCAGAAGAAAGGAGACACAGAATAGAATGGAGGTCAAGAGTATGGACTGTGGACTAAGACTAGTTTCAAGTTCAGGTTCTACATTTTACTAGATGTATAACCCTAGATAAGTTAACTATCCTCTCCAAGTCTTGGTGTCCTCATCTGTAAAATGAGGGAAAAAACACTTAATAGGGTTGTAAACAACCTGACTGTAACAGAGGTGGTCAATAAATCATAATCATAGTCAGCCAAAGTAGATAGCCTTCTTTGCTTTACAGCTTTATGCAGAAACCCATTTTAGCTTTGCAACAAGTTTGGAAGCAGAAGGGCAATCCCCACGGTGCTGTTATGAGCCATGAATCCATGCCTTGCACCTGTGGGCTAAGGACTGGGGGAGGGGGGGATGGATCAGAAAGGGTCTCCATAGGTGCACAGGCAAACACTATTTATCCTCAGTGACAGAGATGCTCAGTTTCTCTTTGGCTGAAGACAGGTAGATAACACAAACGATATAAGCAGGTTCTGCAGCAACTTCCTTGGATTTGTTTTAGAAAGGTTGTCCAGCCAGCCTCCTCAGAGGGAAGTGGGAAATATGCTGGTTGCTGGGCAGGGGCAGGCAGATTTGGCCTCAATTAGTTACTGATGCGTCGGGAAAGTCAGTGGCACTGAGCTTTCTGAGAACACACCTGTATCATGTCTGGTCCTATTGGTTCTAGGGATTGTTAACACAAACTAGTGTTAAAACTTTTATGTTATTAACCAGGAGGAAGAATGATTATTGAACCAAAACCCTCTTAATACTCAAAAAGGTGAGATTTAAAGTCAACAGTGGGTGTGTTAAATAGTGGTGTGTTATTAGTTAAAAGACAAAGAAAGCAAGTTAATATCAACATTGGGAAAGATCAGTAATGCATTTATAAAGTGGGTTCCTTGGTACAGTTCTACTGGGAAGAAGAATTTTTTAAGAAAAGAGTCAATATTCTCATTATAGATATCAGTATATGAGAATATCAACTGCTCCTAATATAATAAAGGCTATAAAAATCAACCTTACTACAGAAATTCAAAGATAAATGTATTTAATAACAGGTACTAATTACTGCAATAAAAACATGACACTTTAATATTAAACACCAAGAGATAAAATCAGGGTCATTTCTAATAAATTTAACAAATCTTCCAGAGTTCAGCACATAAATATATGCCTGCTTACTAGCCTACTGACATACTTGGAGAAATATTAGAGTGTTACTTCTCTTTCTGTATATTTAAATATTTTCTTTTAAATTTGTCATTTATAATATTTCTATTTTCTAAGCAGGGTCAGGCCTCAATGCCATATGCTTTTTGGAAAAAGACAGCCTCAAAACTCAATCTAGCCACATCATTTCTATTTACACATGGACTGGTGTTATTAATTTGGATTTACACCATTGCAATAAGCAGATACCAGGTAAATGAGCTACCAATCATATCAGCAGACTCTACTGTGGCAGTATTTATACAACTGAGCTGTAATCTGGCCTAGCTGGTCTGTTGCAGCTAATTAAAAATTGAAGTTCGAGTTCTCTCATGCCTGCATAAGCCTCAATGTAAAGAAATCACTACCTGGTGTTTAATAAGGTGCTGGAAGATGCCAAGATGAGATGTGAACATTTGGCAACCATGCTGAATTTATCACTGTCCTATGCTTCCATGAGTGTTTAATCACTATTTGAAGTAAGGACTAAAAACCACCTTCCAAAACCAAATCCCCTTTGTTTAGTGGTTCTTATTTCCCTTTCTTCAATTTACAGCACCAAATATACTGGTTTAAGAATGGAAGCCCTCCAAAAACAGAACTTGAAAAAATGTGGATGGCTTCACTGAACCACATACTGGGAACAATATACTGGGGTGGGGTGTGGGAGGGGAAGGAGGACAAAAAGCAAAACCAACCAGTTTTGAAATGTAGTCCAGAACCATCTGTTCAATTTTCTTCTTTTCTACACCTTGTAGGTGTCTCAAAAGGTGGTCTTTTAGTTCAGACACCATCTGAAAATAGGATATGGATTAGATAAGTCAAAAGCTACTCACTCACATATACAAGTAGCTTGAATTAGATTCACTTATTGGCATTCCTTATCAATATGAAAAATACTGTGTGTGAAGATCCCACTGTCCTCAATGTATAACCCTCAATATCAGTCTGACAGATGATCAACACCAGACAAGTTGTGGGATGACATCAAGGACATCATACATGAAGAAAGCAAAAAGGTCATTAAAAAGACAGGAAAGAAAGAAAAGACCAAACTGGATGTCAGAAGAGACTCTGAAACTTGTGCTTGAATGTAAAGTAGCTAAAATGAATGGATGAGATGATGAAGTAAAAAAGCTGAACAGAAGATTTCAAAGGGTGGTTCGAGAAGACAAAGCAAAGTATTACAATGAAATGTGCAAAGACCTGGAATTAGAAAACCAAAAGGGAAGAACATGCTTGGCATTTCTCAAGCTGAAAGAACTGAAGGAAAAATTCAAGCCTCGAATTGCAATATTGAAGGATTCAATGGGCAAAATATTGAACGATGCAGGAAGCATCAAAAGCAGATGGAAGGAATACACAGAGTCACTGTACCAAACAGGTTTGGTCAATGTTCAACGATTTCAGGAAGTAGCATATGATTAAGAACCAATGGCATTGTAGGAAGATGTCCACGCTGCACTGAAAGCATTGGTGAAAAACAAGGCTCCAGGAACTGACAGAATACCAACTGAGATGTTTCAACAAATGGATGCAACACTGGAAGTGCTCACTTGTCTATGCCAAGAAATTTGGAAGAGAGCTACCTGGCCAACTGACTAGAAGAGATCCGTATTCATGCCCATTCCAAAAAAAGGTGATTAAACAGAATTTGGAAATTATCGAACAATATCATTAATATCACACACAAGTAAGATTTTGCTAAAGATCATTCAAAAACAGTTGCAGCAGTACATAGACAGGGACTTCCAGAAATTCAAGCCAGATTCAGAAGATGACATGGAATTAGCAATATCATTGCTGATGTCAGATGGATCTTGGCTGAAAGCACAGAATACCAGAAAGATGTTTACCTGTGTTTTATTAATTATGCAAAGGCATTTGACTGTGTGGACCATAACAAATTATGGGTATTATGAACAATGAGAATTCCAGAACACTTAATTGTACTCATGAGGAACCTGCATATAGACCAAGAAGCAGTCATTTGAAAAGAACAAGGGGATACTACATGGTTTAAAATCAAGAAAAGTGTGTATCAGGGTTGTATCCTTTCATCATATTTATTCAATCTGTATGCTGAGCAAATAATACGAGAAGCTGGACTATATGAAGAAGAACGAGGCATCAGGATTGGAGGAAGAATTATTAACAACCTGTGATATGCAGATGATACAACCTTGCCTGCTGAAAGCGAAGAAGACTTGAAGCACTTTTTGATGATGATCAAAGACTACTACAGCCTTTAATATGGATTACACCTCAACTTAAAGAAAACAAAAATCCTCACAACTGAACCAAGAAACAACATCATGATAAACAGAAAATACTAAAGTTGTCAAGGACTTCATTTTACATGAATCCATAATCAACGCCCATGGAAGCAGCAGTCAAGAAATCAAATGACATATTGCATTAGGCAAATCTGCTGCAAAATACCTCTTTGAGGTGTTATAAAGCAAAGATGTCACTTTGATGACTAAGGTGTGCCTGACCCAAGCCACGGTATTTTCAACTGCCTTATATGCCTATGAAAGCTGGACAGTGAATAAGGAAGACCAAAGAAGAATTGATGCCTTTGAATTATGGTGTTGGCAAAGAATATTGAATATACCCTGGACTTCCAGAAGAATAAACAAATCTTTCTTGGAAGAAGTACAGCCAGAATGCTCCTTAGAAGTGAGGATAGCAAGATTTCATCTCATGTACTTGGAACATGTTATCAGGAGGGACCAGTCCGTGGAGAAGGACATCATGATTGGTAAAGTAGAGGGTCAGTGAAAAAGAGAAGACCCTCAACAAGATGGATTGACACAGTGGCTGCAGCAATGGACTCAAACATAGCAAGTACTGTGAGGATGGCGCAGGACCAGGCAGTGTTTCGTTCTGTTTTATGTAGGGTCGCTATGAGTTGGAACCAACTCGACAGCACCTAACAACAACAACGTTTTTCTCAAGAGGAACTACTTATGATTCACCAAAGCCCACTGAGCAGCTGAGGGTCAGGCTCTAGCCTCTGATGAGAATTCTCCAAAGAAGAGGCTGGTGCCAGTCAACAACTTGGAAATCAAAGGCTTTGGGACCTGCAAAAGGATTGAAATCTACTGCTCCTGGAGAACTACAGCCCTGGGAACTAACAAGAACAACTCTAAACATGAAGTGATTGTGCTAACAGGGGCAGTGCTTTGGGGTGTTTTAAAGTACAGAGGCAGGAGTATAAAGAAAATGCACGAGGTACCTCACTCTTCACACTTCAGACACTACATTTAAACAGTAAATGCAGGCCCCTGGCAAACAAAAGCCATGATATATTCATTCTAATGCCTCCAAAAGGCTTGTTTCTATACGCTTTCTGTTCTGATAATCCTCAGGGTTCCCTAATCAGTGGCTGACATTCTCATTCCCCCAATCTTTTGGTTTTCTCTTTCTTTCTCCTTCACTTTTCCTGCTTTTCTCTCTTTGGCCTAGATGCCCTGATCATCTTGAGGCCCCCTTGGCTGAAAGAGATCTTTGCTCCAATAAACAGCCCATGAGAACTGGACAACTTACATCACAAGTGTATGTATCTTTCTATTTTAGCAGATTCACATAGAGGATGCATTGAGTAAAGCCTAGATCACAGCCTTCAGGGCCAAGGCAGAGTGATATATATACTATTTCAATTCAGTCTCCTGCATGTGCTAAAAGATTAGACTTAAAAAGAAATTTTTTTTTTAATTAAAAAGAGCACACTTTTTTGTGCTCTTCAAATTTTCTACAATAACCTTCAAGATAAAAATTAAAGTCAGCCATAATCCTATCACCTCTATTAACATTTGGGAGGTTATTTTCTTTTTTCGGTTGTGCATACCCATTCTAATGTTCTGTAATCTGCTTTTTTTCATGCAACAGTTTTCTTATGTCATTAAATATTCTTTTACCACATAAGATCTAATGACTGGCAGCAAATATTTCTTGAAAGAATGGGTAAAAAATAAGATGAGAATGAGAAGTACAGTTTAGCCCTTTCCCCTTTTCTTGGGGTGCAGCGTTGACCGGTACCCAAAGAGCCCACAGACCACTTACGAGCCCCACGAGCAGCCTCTGGTGGTTGTCTTCCTCCTGGAAGAGGGGCGTTAGTCTTGGCTCTGAAATAAAACAGCAACAAGTCTAGCAGGGTGATTTTCAGGAAATGGGCCTGAAGGAAGAGGAATCAGCCTGGGTTTCCCTTCTCTAAATCACTGGGAAAACTTTTAAACTTCCATGATAGGATGAAAATTTTTCATTAGATAACTGTTACCCCGTCCTACAAGCTGAACTTCTCACTCAGGTGATTACAGAGAGGGCTCTGTGAAACAGAGAGGTAAGGACTGGGAAAGAAAGAAAACTAGGAACACATTCCCCAGTCCCAGCAGGGTTTGCCTTTGATTTTCTCTTCAACACTAAAACTCACCACTGCTAAGGACCTCTGCTTCACTGGCACAGAGGCACTTGGGCTCTCTCTTAACCCTAAGAGGGGAGTAAACTGAGGGATGGGGGCTTGCTGGAAAGATCGCATGGCTCCCTTCTGCTTTCTTTCCCCAGAATTCTGTAACTTTGGGAGTTACCGGGCTGAGGGAACTGGCCAATTACTATGGTCAGTAATCTTAATTTGCACTAGTTATCAGACTGAGAAGATCAAGATGGAAAAATGATATGTAAGGTTAAATCAAATGCCATTTTCTCCACTCTGATTTGCACTGCACTAGGGTTGCCATAAGGAGCCCTGGTGGCACAGTGGTTAAGTGCTCAGCTGCTAACCAAAAGGTCAGCGGTTTGAACCCACCAGCCGCTCCACGGAAGATGTGGCAGTCTGCTTCCATAGAGACTAGTCTTAGAAACCTTATGGGCAGTTTTACTCTGTACTATAGGGTCACCATGAATCGGAATCAGTTTGATGGCAATAGGTAAGGGTTGCCATAAGGAACCCTGGTGGCGCAGTGGTTAAGGACTCAGCTGCTAACCAAAAGATCAGCAATTTGAACCCACCCAGCAGCTCCGCAAGAGAAAGACCTGGTTATCTACTTCCATAAAGATTACAGCCTAGAAAACCCTACAGAGCAGTTCTACTTTGTCACATGGGGTTGCTATGAGTCAAAATTGACTCGACAGCACCTAACAACAACAACAGGGTTGCCATGAGTTGGAGTCAATTTGGTGGCAACTGGTTTGTTTTATTTTGTTTTGTTTTGTGGGGGCGGTTAGGGGGAGGTTTAGCAAGGATGAAGGAGCAGGCAAACACAGGTCTCCTTCTAGGAGTTGCCCGAACACTCATTCCCGCGCTTCCTCTCCCAGATGCCTGAGGCACAGGGCCGGTCAAGAGGGCAGGACCACCCTAGTCAGTGGTCTGATGACTCCTTCTGGGAGGGCATGGATGCCTTTTGATCCCTCAGGATAAATCCTCTCTGAATTCTACACAAGGCTTAAGATTAAGATGAAGCAATTTAAGACTTGAGCCCAGCAGCCCTGAATTTCATACAAAATGTTCCATTTCAGTCAGTGACAGCTCTCTTCGTGCGAAACTAGTACAAGCAAAGCAGAGAGAGGAAGGGGGAGAGCTTCCTAATGTGCATTAAGACAGAATGCCCAGTGACAGGGTACAAACAGGCCTGGACTACAGCTGCAGAAGTAGCTCTGTAAGTGCGGGCTGGAGGGGCGGACACAACAAAAACTCAACCAGGCCAGCAACATTTCCCATATTGCAAAACCCCTACCCACACAAGGAGGATGACCATGAATCACACATTCACGCCCCTGTCCGCTAGGCAGGACTCATGCTCACTGCTCTTGCTTGGTTAGGTAGGGCCTGGTAACAAGGGCTCAGGATCCAGATCACAAAGCTGGTTCCCCCAGGGCTGTTCAGTGAGGCCAGGCTCTAGCGGCTGGTGCAGGAAGACAAGCTCACCATCATGGTTCACATGTGGCTGCGCGCTCAGCTGCGGGGATGTGCAGCAATGCATTATATAATTTCCATATGATCACCCAACATACATCTAAAACATTCAGCCCACAAAACAGAAGTGGGATATAAAAACAATAGCTTTTTTTTTTTTTTTTTTTAATGAAGGCTGACCTTTATGAGGCATGAAAGACACCGGGTTCACTGACAACCGTAAAAAGGCTGGTACCTGAATATGCTCAGCATTCCTTTCCCCCAGTCTCAGCTGGCTAAGTACCCTAGTGTGTCAACACTTAACTCAGATGTCACCCCCTCTGGGAAGCTTCTTCTGAGCCCCCTCCCTCTCCCAAGCATCCCCACCTCCTGCATCCCTCACTTCATTTTGAAATTATACAATAACATACCTTCCTCACACACCAGTGATAAAGCAGCTGCCTCACATGCCCCAGGTGCTATGCTATGTGCTGTATACATTGCCCCATTTACTCTCATTTTCTCCTCACTCTAGCCCTGAGGAGGACAATGCACAAAATGCATAAATGACTTGCCCAGGAGCACATGGTGAACAGTGGCTGAGCTGGAATTGAAGTCCAGTTCTGTCCAACTCCCAAGCCTATGTGCTTCCCCCATAACCACACTGCTACCTGGAGGTTCCTCATCTTTGTGCTCCTAGGTGGGAAACTAGTGCCTGCCCAAGTTGTATCAAAGGGAAAGGAGCACACACAAGACAAATACACTTGTATGATTAGACAGCTGGAGAGAAAGCAGCCCCAAGCCAAGGAGGTTGCCAGAGCACATTCGGTGGGTACAGCCGGAGGGCACGTTAATTAGAACAATTATATAAGACGAATGAAAGAAAACCAGAGTGCCAACACCAGGAACTTCTCCAGCAAAAGCACATTTAGTGGCTTTCCCTGAAGGTCCTGGTGCCAAGACAGACATGGGAAGAGCCATGTGGCCACTTTAACAGGAAGATATTAAGGGTTCTGCCTTCACTACGCTATTAGAAATGATTTTCTCCCAACCCCAAGTGGTAGGAAAAAGAAGAGTGTTAAAAACAAAACACTGACTGACATCCAGAAGGCTTTATTACAGGTCTTTTCTTACCCAAACTCCTTGCTTCTAGGTTAAAAATCACCCTACAAAGAAATTAGTCAATGTTATTCACACAGGAAGTATTATTAAAAAAAAAAAAATTAAGGCCACAACACCGTACAAAAATACCCTCCTTTAAACACCTACAAAACCACTGCAGTAACTGTTCTAAAGCCATTGAAAACATCAAAAACTTTAATCAACTTGGCAAAAGCCACATTTGGCAATTATAAAAACTTAGAACTCTTTTGTGCAAACGACTGCAATAACTTAGAACAATTGCAGCTCTCAGTTATTGGAAATAATGGGAACAGAAAATAGAACAGGGGTTGGAATGGGGCCTATACTTGTAGCACTGTGAGATGATTCATCTCTTCAGAAAATATTCTTTCAAAATAAGAGCAAGCTCATCAGCCTACTTTTAAAAATCACTTTAAAAAGCCCACTTTTTACAATCAGCCTACTGTCTGTCCTCCCCCAAAGTGCTCAATTAATAAGAGCTTTCTTTACCACTTGGCGTAGTAGTTAAGAGCTATGGCTGCTAACCAAAAGGCTGGCAGTTTGAATCCACCAGGTGCTCCTTGGAAACCCTATGGGGCAGTTCTACTCTGTCCTTTATGAGTCGGAATTGACCAGACAGCAATGGGTTTGGCTTTTTCTTTTTCTTTATCACTTAACCATTGTAAATCATCCCTCGCAGGGTAGAAATCTATAAGGTTTAACATATGAAATTCTCTCCCCAGGAATAGCCCCTTTCCCTTACCACAGTCCCTGAAGACCACAGACGCCAACTCCGGAATAGGGCAACAGTGGCTACAGTTGTTAAGCTGACAGCATCATTTTGTGGAGGATACACATCAAAAGTAAGCTACTCCCAGGAATGGAGAGTAGCCAACAAAGTGACTAAAAGATAACCACCTTAGAGATGCAATAACCTTTCACTTTACTTACTTCATTGCATTATCGAGAATATTCCTCACATATGCTGTGGACCTTCTTTTTCCTGTTTTCTAGGGGTGAGAACATGTCAGGGTGTGAACGGTGAAGGTTTTGTGGGTGACATTTTTCACAGCAAGGACACAACGCAATATAGTTAAGAGCTTCAGAATAAAGAAATATACTTTCCAGATAATAGAACACCTAGATTTTTTAAAAAAATTTTTAAACTTTTTATCCTGAAACAAATATAGATACACAGGAAGTGTCAGAAATAGTACAGAGAGATCCCATCACCCAGTCTTCCCCAATAGTTATATCTTACACAACTATAGCATAATATCAAAATCAGGGAACTGGCATTAGTACAATGTATGTGTATAGTTCAGTATCATTTTATCACCTGTGTAGATTCCCGCAACTACCACCGCAATCCAGGTACAGAACCATCCCATCACCACAAAGATCTCCCTTCTGCTACTCCTGTAGAGTCACACTCAACCTCTTCATCCCTGAATCATCCCTAACCCCTGGAAACCACTAATTTGAGAACACCTAGATTTTTTTTTTTAATCAATTTTTAATTGCACAAGTAATGAAAGAACATACGTCAGACCCGGAAATTAATCCTATTACTACTGTGAACATGCTGCGTGTGCCTTAACCTCTCTGCCCTTCAGTTTCCTCCTCGGGAGAATAGAGATCATAGAAGGGGCTCTGTTTGCCTATTGCAAGGTCAGCAGCAAGAATGTAAAAACACCTGGCTGTTGGCAAGAGTGCTGAAAATGCATACCGCCTTTATGGTTTAGGGACATCTCCTGGATCTAATAATACACAAAGCTTTTGCTTCTTGCTTTCTTCTAAACCCCACACATACCTCTTCCGAGATCAGGTTGTTCCATTCTTTCCTGATCACGCTGTTGTTATAGTGGAGGTGTGGCTTGGCGTACTTAACATATTCTAGGTTGTAGTTCAGTTTTTCCCAGTAGCCCTTAAAGCTGTGCACCTGTAAGAGACAAAAACATCAGTGGGCTTGAGAAACAAGCCAGGTGGCTCAAACTACCCAGCAACGGTCACACAGCCTTGCTAGAGAACGGGGTCCACTTTACTCCACAGCTCTTACAAGACAACATTTCTGAGGTGAATACTTCCCAAGAGCGATGCCATTCTAGTCCCACCAGGAATTCTAAAATAAAGAGACTTAAGGAATCTTGCCTTCCTCACTTCATTTTCTAGCCCCCTTTTACAATAGAGAGAACTGGTGCTTACTTCCCAAAACCAGTATCACCCCCTGGGTTAAGCCTAAACAGGGAAGCCTATACTAAACACATCAACTCATTTCCTCCCCCAGAGAACCATTTCTCTAACTTAGGTTCTGTCAACAATGCCATGTTCAGTCAGAGAATGTTCACAAAATTTAGGACACATGGGGTAGGCTTACTTTCCCACTAAGTGTATTTACTTCCAAGGACATTTTTCAAAACCTAAGTAATTAAAAAGGTAAAATGAACTAGTTTCACACTCAGTTGTCAAATACTCCAAAACAAAAAGCAGTTGCAGCTCTAGCTAGGTCTTTGAATTACTGACATAATTGTACTACCCTTAAGCAAAAATTGTCTATTACATCATTTTAAAATAATAAAAAACAATGTTAATATATTTTTAATGTTGAATATAACTGACACCTTTTTTTTTAATCAATGAAGACGGATTTATGATACAGACTTTCTCGCCAAAATATGTGCATTTATAAAAGATTTGACAGGGGCCAGGAGTACAATCTGTGGCCATAAATGAAGTGAGCTAATGCCTCCTTGACTATATTGCAAGACAAATGAACTCCTAAATAAAATACTCCTCAATTAAGAAAAATACCCTTAAGTTAGATAATAGCACTTAAGTCATGAACACTGCCTGGTATTTTGCACAGGACATATGCAATAAAAGTCGTTCCTTCCCTTCCCCTCTTCTTGGTTGGACATTTTATGGTAATTTACTATCACATTATACAAATTCTTACTGAAAGGATAGTGATAATCGGTTCAAAATGGATTTTGGATTATCAGTAAAATGAGTTACATAATAATATTACAACTTGCTGTTTTAGAAGCCTGAAATGCCTGTCATCCAGCCAACATCCCTTCTCCCTGAGACAGGAAAACTTTTTCCAAGAAAGTGTCATCTCCAGAGGAAACAGGGACACTGGAGTCAGCTCTTACTCCCCACTTGAACTGCCTCACTCACCTGTGCTTTCCCTTACCATTTAGTTGTAAGAAATGTACCTTTCACCATTTGACCTTTCTTGCACTGAAAAAAAGTAATTAAAATAAACCTGCAGACATTTGGCAGGAATAGGTTCCTGACAGAACTCACTACAGCTTTCTTGCTTCTCTACATCCGGGCTCGGGGCATGTGTGCCAAAACCGGATAACTAATTGGTGTTGTACTGACATCTAGTGGCCACTTAAGCTATTAACTCTTACACATGGGGTCACCATGAGTTGGAATTTACTGGATGGCAATGGGTCAAGTTTGGTGGGTTTTTTTGTTTTGTTTTGTGTTTTGACTTTGCCACAGGAGTCTCAGGGTGCCGTCCATCCAGGCCTTGCCCAGGACAAGAGAGGGGAGGGAAGGCACACTGGTACCCTCCCGCCTGCCATCCGAGCCTGCCCCCTCAGGCCAAATGCCATCCAGCTATCAGAAGACTCACTAACACACTCACACTGTGGCTCCTAAGGAAAGATCTTTCCCAAATTACCTTCCTTCTCTTCACTCCCCCATTAAAGAATCCCTTTCTTCATAACCTTTTCTCAGCTGAAATCAAACAGATAAAGCACAGTGCTTGCCAAGTCCATGGACAGGCTTCAAAGGGGCTCCAGAACTCACTGTATGTAAAATTGAGTGGTATGCATTTATGTGGGCATTTTTCTGGGAAGAAGGTTTACAGCTTGCACCAGATTTTCAAAGGAATCCATCGCCCAGAAAAGCTCAAAGCCACTGAGTTATAAGGAAAATAATTTGAGTTTAAAAACAAACAACTCCTTACATTTAAATAAGAAAATCTGTAAGCCAAACATCCCAGGCATATTTTCATATGAACTCACTGGCCTGGATGTTATGATACAGATATTAGGAGTATACAGAGAAAAACAATTAGGGCCCTATGTCGCTACTAGATAAGTCAGGAATTTTTTTTATGTTACAGAAATTCACAGAGATCATTGTAAACTGAGGAGTCTATTTGGGAGCCTGGGCTCAAAGGATGAAACAGGATTTGAATGAAAGATAAGAGAGGATATCCTTTGAGTGAAAGATTATGTGGATTCTGGGGTTAGACCAGAGGCATAGCATTAGGCAGATCAGAGAAAACAACCAGCAGCACTTCATTCTCACTCCATGGTGAAGATATCCACCTCTAATGTGTGATTCCCAACCTTGCCTGCCCATTGGAACCACCTGGGGAGCTTTAAAAAAATGAGGTTTGGGTCCCATCCCTAGAGATTTGATTGCTAGGCCCTGAGCCTCTCGTAGACGTTTCCCTGGTGATCCCAATATTCAGGCAGGGCTCAGAACACTGCTTCAGCATGGCCAAGCAATCCCAGTCTCCCTCCCACCTCAAACATGTTACTCAATCTACACCTCTGGCTTAAAGGCTAATAAAGAACTCGCCTGTCCAAGGCTTGTGATTGTGTTGTTAAATAGGAGATAAGGTTAAAGAGGAAGCTTAGGGCCCATCTGCAAGAATCTTAAATGCTAAGTTAACACCAGCATGTTCATTCACCCAGAGAATAAAAGTAGCTCCAAGATAAAACCTGAGATGTTGTAACCTAGTATGGAATCTACACAATCACATCCTAACAGGCAAAGCATACCATCTCACCACTTATGCTCAGTGCTGGCCCTCAGAGCACAGAAAACTGTGCCTCAGAACCAGTCAGCTAGCCCTTATGGAACATGGTGAGTACTGTCCTCATCAAGAAATAACAACAGTGTAAAGTGGAAGCCATGACACCAAGAAACTGGCGAAAGCCAGTCACTTAAAAAAAAATCCATGATGCTTAAAACAATACACTTTATAAGTCATAGACTAAACAGTGCTTTATAAGAAAAATAACCACAAATTTAGCTATTTATGGGTAACTCTGAGTTACAGTAGGAGCCCTGGTGGTGCCGTAGTTAAATACTCAGCTGTTAACAGAAAGGTCAGCGGATCGAACCCACCAGCTGCTCCACAGGATAAAGATGTGGCAGTCGGCTTCCGTAAAGACTTACAGCCTTGGAAACTCTATGGGGCAGGTCTACTCTATGCATCAGAATCAACTCAATGACAATGGGTTTTCTGGTGTTAGAAGCAACCAGATACTTAAGGAATGGCCCAGGAACATTTTTCTGCACAAAGGAGAGTTTTAAATTTTGAATTTGAAAGAAGAAAAATTATTTCAAGTCTCTTCTTCAGAAATAATCTCGTTTGGTCTCTTAGGATAACAGGAAACCATTACCAAATACAGTTCATTACAAATATTAATTAACAAAGGACCAAAGTGTTCCCCACGAAGGAACTGCTTCCTATTTAGGACTTGGTTTGCCAGATGATCTCTTAAAAAAAAAAAAAAAAAAAAGGGCACTGTGGCACTCACCACTCACTCATCTGAAAATTACTGCCAGAAAAAAAAAAAATCTGCCTTTCATTTCTGAAATGGCTGCTGGCTTTGGTCCTACTTCTGCTGATTAACCAGCATCTTCTTACAGGGGAGGAAGCCAACTCGGAGAGAACCATTTACTCTGTGCACCAGCACTGAACTAGTAGAGCTAAAGCATCCATCCAGTTTGGCTCTTCAGTGGATCCTATCTCTGGATCAGCTTTTACTTGCCGTCCAGAGAAATACTGCAACCCCTTATCTCTGGCACATACACACACACACAAACCCGAAACCAATTCCGACTCATGGTGACTCCACGTGTGTCATAGTAGAGCTGTGCTCCATAGGATTTTCGATGGCTGATTTTTCTCCTGAGGCACCTCTGGGTGGATCGGAACCTCCAACCTTTCCGCTAGCAGAGCGTTAACTGTTCTCCGTAAAGCTAGCAATACACTGTCCTAAGCCAAGCTGCTCTGAACAAGAATATCCACTGTGCGCAGGACCAGGGCCTGGGAACCCTTGAGCCTGCCTGCTAAGGAGACTGTACACTGCAAGTGCAAAGTCTCCTGTTTATAAATGGATTTCCTCTTTCCTCAACAGTTAGAAATAAATCCCTCTTCTTTGCCCAGCAAGGCAGTTCTGTTAGCCATTTTTAATGGGATGGGTTTTTTTTTTAATGAAATCACTAAATATGACAAATTATTGCATCTCACAGTCAGCATATACCCTGAGAAAGCCACTGCTAAGATAACTCTCTCCTCTTAACCTTATGAATTAAACACTATGTCCTCAACCAAAACTATGAATAGAAGCTGCACAGCCTAGTGGCTGGTAGGAGAAGAACAAAAACAAGAATCCTTGATCCTGTGTCTGTTTCTCAATTTCACCGTCTGGGAAGTAGACTGAAGTACCTGCATCTCTACAGGAATGAATTCACCAGCCTGATGTTCTGTTTCTAATAAGCATTATTTCTTTGCTGCATCGTAAAATTATGCTTTAGAATATTTACTGAACTCTGTCCCAGAAAATATATGTACAGACTGAACTTTGGTAATCTATTAATATTTCTCACATAACCAATTGACATTTCCAGTGATGTTACATCCTTGTCAAAGCAACAATTCTAATTTTAAAAACTGTAAGCTATTACTATGTGATTGTGTTGATACTTCGGATCTCTAACAAACCTTTTCATTAAGTGATGATGGCTGTCTGTATTGGAGGAATCAAGGAAAAAGGTGTCTTTTGTGTTTTACTAAGTAATTAATTGTACTCATGCCTACCCAGTTGAACAGTATTTTTAAACATTTTTTAAGTGAACAGACATAGTTAAATAAGCCTCTGAATGGAGAAGAGCTCAGGTATCACCTACCCTTTTCCTAACTGCTCAGGGGCAGTAAGCTCCTGATAGACACTTGCAGTAACACCTGCGCTTCTGAGTGGCCATAAGTGGTGCAGGGCTTTAAGTCTTTCTGGCCTTCCCAGTTTCTGAGTCAGGTAGTTAATAATCTCTAAACAAGCGATCGAATACACTAAAGATGCTCGACTCAAATACCTTGGGGGAAATGCTCCACTTCCCATTCACAGCATGCTCATTCAATTTTTATCTCTATACTCAAGTAGGTTATTGTTTCCATTGTTTGTTTTCTTTTAATCCTTACATGCTTCCTTGGTTGGATAATCTTAATGGGTTCTCTTCTCACTAGAAAATCAAGGGCAAGTTTTTCCTTTTATAAGAGTGCCACTTCCCCAGGGCAACCCACGTCTTTAAGAAGGGATAAAACCATGCTTCAGGAGGTCATTCTTGATGACATTCCTTTTAAGTCAAGTACCCTGCTTCAATCTACTTCTTGTTCAATTTTTTTAATGCTTTGGGAAACCATTTTGTAAGTGAGGAAGATTTTTGTCTTTCAGGTGACACTCTTCTTTAAGTGGTTTATCTGCTCTAATATTTTCATATATTAAACGTTTGTAAAGTGCTCCACTTCACACTAGAATTATTTGCAGACTGAGCAGGAGAAAAGTGCATTTCTGGTTTCATTTTGCCCTTACCTACCCGACTCCTTACCAGGGCAGAATGGAAGCAAATGTGATCAGCATCAATAGGGGTCCCTCAGGCCACAAGGAAAGTCTGGCAGCAATCACACATTCTAAAGGTAACTTGTGATTCAGGTCATGGATATTCAGAACCAACTTTAGCAAGTAAGCATGACAAGAACAGCCACATAACTGGGGCTGGGGAGGGAGGAGCAGAGAGTGGGATGTGCCACTGCAACCAGGTCCATCATAAAATAATTAAGCTGGGACTTGGGGTAGAGGAAGTAGGTCAAAGGCAAAGGCAGAAGCTTAAAGTGAATGGGATGATGCAAGTTGAGATGGGGAAATAAAAGAGATTCAAGGCCAGGTGTCCTGTAAGCTGGAAGGTACTGATTAGGTACTGTGCTCAGTGATTAGGATGGGGTAGGGGTAGGGGTGGGGAGATTCTGGTCAAACCAAACCCAGTACTATTCTCTCCTAAGGCAAGGCCAGTCACAGCAGCACATCCAGTGGGATCCTATGCAGTGATTAGAAATCATTATTATCAAGTCTATGTAGCATCACAACTGATATCACAGCAACTTGATATGATAATTTGTAATATTTATGAAATATCTCTAGATCACTATTAAACCCATTGCCGTCGAGTCGATTCTGACTCATAGCTACCCTACAGGACAGAGTAGAACTGCCCCACAGGGTTTCCAAGGAGCGCCTGGTGGATTCCAACTGCCGACCTTTTGGTTAGAGCCAAACGCTTAACCACTGTACCAGCAGGGGCCCCTAGATGGCCATTACAGCTAGGTAAAATATGCATACCTATGACAAAGACAAAAAGAAATGGGGGGAGGGGGACGATAGGCAGTCGATATGCTAGGAACTGTAGAATTGTGGGTGACGTTTCTTAAAAATTTCTTCAGTAGTTTGTTATTTGTCCATTGAATACATTATGGGTTTGGCAGGGATAGTGGTAGAGGCAGAAATAATAAAATGAAAGGATGGAGTCTCTTAATAAGAACCTTTGAAACTATTAATAAAACACTTTTTATCCCCTTCATCTTACTGCTTTAGCAGGGCTTGACCGTGGTCCCACACTTTTGCCTAGAAACACAGCTTGTCAGTCTATCTTTAAGGGACTCTTCTGGGACCAAAACCCAAACCATTAGTCACCTCGCCCCGGTCTGCCCTCTCTCACCCCCCAGTGCATCACTGTGACCTCAAAAGCTCACGGATTTCCCCAGTGTCCAGGCTTGGCCTGGCCTTCATATGTCCAAAGAAATCGAATATAAATAAAAGGCAGCAGCATAGTGAGCTGCCTACTGCCAAAAGTTGAGATTTCCCAGTACACGACAAGCTATAATTAACAGAAGGCAATGCCGAAAACAACAAAGGAGCTTCTAGGAAGCTATGATAAAATACTCCCCAGTATTTAACTACATATGAATTCTTTTCTACTCACCCCACCCCACCTCACTCTCACTATTGTGCTCACACTCTTCTGAAACCACCAGACTGCAGAAAGACACTAGGAGCTACAGCTCAGCAGGCAGGAAGAAGGTGCACAGAAGCTTGACTGAGGCCACATAGTGAGCCAATACAGCTCATTCTTGAGAAACAGAAAAGCTGTTCTTAGAACCAGAAGGAAATGAGATAATCTCAACTCACGTTACTTAATGGCTTTAAGATTGAAGCCTGTGTGTGTGGATGTGGATGCATGCATGTGCAGGGAGTGTGTGTGTATGTTGAGGGAGTGACAGCACAAATGAAGTAAAAACGGCTACCAGGCCTTCTAAAGATAATTTACAAAAATTCCAGTACAGACTGGTTTGAGTGGCAGTGGCGAGTACTAGGCAGCATGGTTTAAGTTGAGCCGTGTAGTTTTCTCCTATCTTCAGAAAACTTCCGTCTTCAAAGAGTGTTCCTAAGAATGGCCGTAATACCACATTCAGTGACCAAAACCAAAACTAAACCAGTTGCTGTCGAGTCAATTCTGATTCATGGCAACCCTGTACATGTCAGAGTAGAACTGTGCTCCATAGGGTTTTCAATAGCTGATTTTTCAGAAGTAGATCGCCAGGCCTGTCTTCTGAAGCACCCTGGGTAGACTCAAACCACCAACCTTTCGGTTAGCAGTTGAATACATTAACCGTTTGCACCATCCAGGGACTTACTCAGTGAGTACTCACTCACTTAGGAAGGATTCTCTAGAAAACCAGTCCTTACCCTTTACTCCCATCCTTCCCCAGCAGTTCGTAATCCCTTTTCGACCTGACAAAACTCACGGCCAAAGTTTAACTCCAGGTCGAGTGTGGAGGCAAGCAAGGAGGCCATGCATGTCTGGGCTTTTGTCTCTCACTATTAAGGGACTTACCTTCATAAGAGGCAACGCAATCTCTTCTGTCACAAGGGTTATTCCAGGGATTTCCTATGGTGGGAAAAACACACACACAACCTGCTAAATGCATCAACAACCACAGGCTCAGGCCTTCAGGAAGTGCTTTCCCCATAGACAGAAGCTGATGGTGGTCCTGTTCTCCCTCGCTGAGGGCAGCTTCCAGTTTGCTAACCTCTGCTTTAAATAAACCTCAGGGTATGGGATTAACAGTGAACCCATGCAGCCTATCTCCTGCCCCAGGAAAGGAAATATTCTTTAAAGTCATGATTAAAATAATTGACAGGATCCAAAGGAAAGAAAAAGACTATCATGAAGATATACAGAGCTAACAGCATAGTTTTTACACATTGCCATTTAAGAACAAATGAGGCAGATTACATTTGCACTATCAAACGTAATAAGGGGAAAATGTTCCATTATTTGTATTCCTTCCTCCCTCCTCTTCTCTGTCACTTTAAATGTATTAGAGTTGGCCTCTGCTTCACTGGGAAGGAAACAAAGTTAATGGGATTCTTGAATGACTTTAGTGGAAAGTTTTTCTGTACCTCATCCTCCACTATCATTTCAGAGATGAGCTCCCCAAAGAGATTGTGCAGCACTCTCACCATGGCAAATGGAAAAGGTGTGCAGTTCATATCAGACAGTCCAAATGATGATGTGCTGGTAACTCGTCCGCATTAAAACAGAAATTCAAATAAAGGATGTTGTTGTTATTAGGTCCTGTTGTGGAGATTTCGACTCACAAAGACCTCATGTGACAGAGCAGAACTGCCCTATGAGTTTTCTTGGCTGTAATCTTTAGGGAAACAGATTGCCAGGTCTTTCTCACGCGGAGCTGCTGGGTGGGTTCAAACCGCTAACCTTTCAGTTAGCAGCTGAGGGCTTAATTGTTTGTGCCACCAAACCAAACAAACCAAACCCATTGCCATCCCGACTCATAGCGACCCTACAGACCCTATAGGACAGAGTAGAACTGCCCCATAGGGTTTCCAAGGCTGTAATCTTTACAGAAGCAGACTGCCACGTCTTTCTCCCGAGGAGCTGCTGGTGGGTTCAAATTGCCGACCCTTCAGTTAGCAGCCGAGCACTTAACCACCATGCCACCAGGGCTCTTTCTATTGTGGTTACGATTTTATTAAAGATGTAGCATTAAGAGCATTTGAGGATTAGAGAAAGGAAAAGTAGATGATTTACATTATTACTAAAGATAAGCACAGAATCACAGAATTTCAGAATTAGAAGAGACCTTAAAAGTAACCTACTCCAACCGCAAAAAGTTTAAAGCAACATGGTAAACCCTAAAATAAGCACAGTACACGGTGGTTACAGCTGCGGGTTTTTTTATATTGTACTTCTTGTAGGACTTTCTGGTGTCATTCCGTATATGTCCACACAGCTCCTCTGCTCTACAAAGTAGTGAGAAATGCAAAGTGAAGCCTTGCCTGTCAGGGTGACACTCTCACAGGACATCCAATTAACATGCACTCCATCTTCTAACCCAACCGTGGGAACTAGTGGACCCCGGCCCTGCCTCCTAGACGCTGTTTTAACCACGGCAAAACAGCGTTGGGTGGTAGGGGAAGGAAGTCGAGAAGTGCATTTCCTGACTCCAGGGTGGTTTAACCTGAGAACTTCCTGCCACATTACCACAGCATCTGCCTGTACAGTCACAATTGTTCTCAAAGACAAAAGTAGGGGCTTGGAGAAGAAAGAATAAGCTCAGGTCTTTCCTTATAATCCCCTTGTATTCTTATAGTAATTGCCTTATAATTCATGGAAGTTCAGTAACTATAACAGTAAAAAACAACAAAAAAGAGCCTTTAAGAAAACACTACTATTGTATGTACCAAAAATTTAGAAATTAACTCGATCTTCATCATGGCTCAAGCACACATGATACTTCTTTTTTAAGCACTATACTTAGAAATGCAGGTGCCTGGTGGCAGAGTGGTTAAGCACTGGGAGGCTAGCTGAAAGGTCAGCGGTTCAAACCTACCAGCCGCTCTCTGGAGAAAGATGTGGCAGTCTGCTTCTGTAAAGATAACAGCCTTGGAAACCCTATGGGGCAGTTCTACTCTGTCCTATAGAGTCACTATGAGTCAAATTGACTTGATGGCAGTGGGTTTGGTTTTTTGGTTTATATTTAGAAATAGTGTAAGTACAAAATGGGAAGTGCTGCAATTTATCCTAGTATATCTTTTTCTATGTCTGGGTTACCTAAATTAAATTTATTTTTCTAGATATCTTCTTTTGTTGTTTATTAATTTGTTTGTTTTTAATCATATCACTTTGTTGGTTAGCATTACAGTAGTTCTTTTATTTTTAATTGTTGTAAAACTATGGATAACACTAACTTCTGCCTGAAGACTAAGTATGCAGTTCTAACATCTAAACGTGACAGGAGAGGAGAGCTTTTTCAGAGGCAGCCTTATACATGGTTATCACTTGCTCGTCCAACAAAACACGGTTTACTGCACCATGTTCAAGATAAAATAATGTTTGAGCTTAGTATTTTCTAATTTAAAAAGGAGGGAGTCTGGACTAACAGGAAGAAAAGGTTGAAGGAGTGAGTTTGCTTAAGATTGCTAACTTTACTGATCTTGAAGCTCTAGAAGCATTACAAATTTTCTTTATGAGGCTGGGAAAATGAAGATGCTAATCTAGTCAGTAAGCAGAACAGCTCAGAGTAACAGCAGTGGTCCAGCCTTTCACCATTTATAAAAACTGAGAAAAATAAAACTAATATTTTAATCTACTCTAGTAACTAAAAAAATAAAAATATCATTTGAAGATGACACAGGTTTAGTTCTGCTTGGTAGAAGGACGGATAACAAATGTCCTATACCTTCTCCTTCAATTCTACTGTTTCATATGTCTGTATATGGAGCCCTGGTGGCACAGTGGTTAAGAGCTCAGCTGCTAACCAAAAGGTCAGCAGTTTGAATCCACCAGCTGCTCCTTGGAAACCCCACGGGGCAGTTCTACTGTGTCCTATAGGGTCACTATGAGTCGGAATCCACTCGATGGCAACAGGTTTGGGTTTGGGTTTTTTCATACCTTTGTATAGGAGCCCTGGTGGCACAATGATTAAGCCCTAGGCTGCTAATCAAAAGGTCAGCAGTTGGAACCCACCAGCGGCTCAATGGGAGAAAAGACCTGGGAATCTGCTCCCATAAAGATTACAACCTAGGAAACCATATGGGGCAGTTCTACTCTGTCCTATAGGGTCTCTATGAGTCGGAATCGACTTGACAGCACACAATAACAACATACCTTTGTATATATGCGTGCGTATATATACCTTTAGCCAAAGGTAGGGATTCACTTTTTTTTTCTGCCAGAAAATTCTAATTCACTTCCTTATAATTCAACACAGAAATTACATCACAACCTTGGTTACTGTGACAGGGATGTGCTACAACTGACCCACAACTATGAATCTATTTTAATTGCATACACAGTACAAAGTGTTAACTTACTGTATTCCAAGTGATCACTGAGGAATATGGCAAAAGTTTATCTACATTACTGGTCTCTGGACATATGCTCCAGTATGAAGAAGCTGAGTACATTTTTGAAAGGGGGGGAAAAAAGGACATGGCTTAATGAAAAGAGTAAGTTTAAAAGACTCCATAACTATTAAATGCTTAAATTATAAAAATGTTTCACAAAGGACAACTTACACTCAGTTCTGAAAAATAAACAAAATTGAAATAAAAACAAAAATGAGCAAAACCAACAAAAGTTTTCATTTCCTTATCCTTCATCCTCAAAAGGTTAAGCACAATGATTTTATCTACTGACTAAGAAGTTCAGGTTGTCTTTTTATTGTGCCATATTTACAATGAGGATAATTTCCCAAAAATTTATTTGGTGCTTTTAACTACCCAAATGACATTACACTACTTTATACAGAACTAGCCAACAGCAAACTGGGCTAAGAAACTTATATCTTACTGAAAAAAAAAAAAAATCACTAGTAAGGTTATAGAATCAGGATCACATCTTACATCTCATCAATCTCTGAACAGCCACTGCTTCTCACAAAACCACAAGAGAATGAAATTTAATTAGCTGCTAACTGCAGTCGAATTAAAAAAAAAAGATTCTCCTAAGCAGCATTTTGACAGATTGAGGCATTAGCAATTTATGACTTTCCCTCAAGCAAAACGGTCAAGTATTCAGCTTTACATGCAATGTCAGCAACACCTACCAATTATAAATTCCTGAATGAGGTCAAATGAATGGCAGGCAGAGATGTTCTCAGAAATCCACTGAATAATCTTTAAAAAGTAAAAAGACAGAATTCTGCTGGTAGTTAGATCTCCACACCATCCCCACCACCAAAGAAGCACAAATATATATGACTCTGTTTAATTCTATATCTATTTTGGAATGACCTAAGAATACACTCACCTCTACATTATTTTCAAGGTACATAATGCAAGACTATATGGGTAAAACAGTATTATAATGAGGTCTTTTTTACACATTTTTTAAAAATAAATGCCCTCGGCTGGGACCCAAATAAATCTTCTTCAACCAATGTTTGCTAGAGTAGACAGAGGCGTATCTAAGGTATGGCAAGCATGGAATGTGCCCTGGTTGCCATTTGAAGGGGGGCACCACTGAGCAGCTTCTATTAACCGGTAGGACCCAAAATCCTTCCTCAAGCACTGTAGACACAGAGGTGTAGCGAGGGGTGAGGGAGGAGAAAGGGCACTTGCTCCTGGCACAAGTCCAAGGGGGTGCCAGATGAGACACAGAATGACATTCCAAGGTGCCACAAATATGAAAGGCACCTGCCTGAGGCAGTGAAACAAGAGGGGGTAAGGTGTTCTGACGGGTCGCTAATATCAACGTCTATTCTTCTTGAAATTGGAGGGGTGGGGGCACAACTTAGAGATTGCCCCTGGGTGGTTGTTACTCTGTCTGTGCTCCTGCTCAGGGGTGCAATTTCAGTACTTGCCACAAATGCTATTTTCCATAGATATGCCTCTGTATAGTAATGCACCAGTGAGAACTGTAGGATACTGGGGAACACAAAAAAACAAACCACTAAACTTGGATGCAAATAACCAGGGATTTGAATTCCAGCTCAGTTATCAGTGCAAACACTGTCACACCATTAAACCTTTGCGAGCATCACTGTACTGCCCTCCAAGGGAGGGACTGTTGCTGTTGTGTGCCGTCCAGTCAATTTCAACTCATAATGTGACCCTATAGGACAGAGTAGTACAGCCCCATGGGGTTTCCTAGGCTGTAATCTCTCCAGCAGCAGATCAACAGGTCTTTTGTCCCTCAGAGCAGCTAGTGGGTTCAAACTTCCAACCTTTCCATTAGCAGCGGAGTGCTTAACCATTGTGCTCACTTAAGAGAGGGATAATCCTTTTTACATCAACTACTCTCTAAATTGATCCTACTAGAGGAACGAAGCGCCTCATTCCCTGACTCAGGTACACTGACCTAGACCCTCACATTTCTGTCTCTTCTGATAAGCTGTTTCTACTCCCAAACATGGAAACCCTGGTGGTGCAGTGGTTAAAAGCTATGGCTACTAACCAAAAGGTCAGCAGTTTGAATTCACCAGGTGCTCCTTGGAAACTCTATGTAGCAGTTCTACTCCCTTCTATAGGGTTGCTATGAGTTGGAATCAACTCGACGGCAACGGGTTTTGTTTTGTTTTGTTTTTTAATTCCCAAACATGTTTATGCTAGTTGTATTTATTTTCACATTTAGGAAATCTAATACAATATCAGGAACCCTGGTGGCGCAGTGGTTAAGTGATATGGCTGCTAACCAAAAGGTCGACAATTCAAATCCACCAGCCACTCCCTGGAAACCCTACAGAGCAGTTCTACTCTGTCCTATAGGTTGCTATTGGTCTGAATGGTAACAGGTAACGGGTAATAAAATATTACTATAAATAAATAAAATATAGATATAAAAAGACTATTTTGGGTCAATAAAGGATAAACTGAACACTTTGGAAAGACTCAACGAAGGCAAGTCTCTAAAAAATCTTACTAAAAAATAAGGTGTAGGTGAGACGACTGAAAAAGACTGGGAAAAAAATGTCAGAGTCTAGAAAGATCCTATATGCAGATTGTTCTGGAAGGGTCTTTAAATTATTATTCTCCTTAAAAATGAAAATAAAGAAGGTAACAGGGAGTCAGAGATAACACATTACTGGTGGTTTTAAGCAAGAAAAACAATTTTGAACTCCAACCAGCTGATGCACACACACTCAAAGAGCACTTATCTACATAAAAAGATGGGTGAATAAATGTACATTTGTGTGTTTTAGGTTAAAATAAAATGTTGAAGGTGTCTTTTTTTTCAGTTAATCAAACATCCATTGGTCCCAGTCAAGTCTGATAAGAGGGTTTCTTTGACTTCACAGGACTACTGTGAATATCTGAAATACTTTGTAAACTGTTATGTGCAGTACAAATGTAAGCTATTTGTACTAACATAGGTAAGAAATGTCTGCTACCACATTTTAGTCCTTTTGATCACAGACACTGAATGTAAATCAGGAGAAAAAGCAGGATATTTGAGAAACTCATTATTTACTGAGCATTTCTTCGGAATATTACTAATGTAGCTAAATATTTATTCACGGTACAGAAAAGAGAGCAGTCAAAAGGACAGACATGCCCTCATAGTCTGATGTCTGGTAGGGATCCACAAAAAAGGAAAAGAACATGTTTGAGTCAGAACAGAGACCACAAACCTCAATTGTTACCAAATAAAAATAACTTCTGTTCTTTTCCAACCACTAAATGAATACACTTGGTGTTGTCTATTTGCCAATTTTTAAACTTAAGCTCTGTTCCCACCTGGGCTTCCAGGAACCGTGAGTCTCTGCCGCATGAGAGCACGCAGTGCAGCACGGCCATCCTCTCACAGTCCAGAGGGGTGTTCCACAATAACTGTAACAAATACGACTGGTTGAGGAGTGCTCTATAGAGCTTTCCAGAATTCCAGTCCAGTACCATGGACCCTGACAGTGACTGTAAAGGACTATGAGGTAGCATATCAATCATTTCATTTTTTCCTGGCCAAAAAGAAAAAAGGAGATCAGCAAAAAAAAAAAAAAAACAAGAACTCCTTCCCAAATATAAATATTAAAATAAAAACAAACCCAAATAGATCATGTCCGTGGGGAAAAACCATACCTGTCAGAAACAGACTGTGGCAGATCAAGTCTGGATGTTGTATGTTAAGTAGGTGAAAGAAATGACCAGGTAAGTAAACAGCCACGTAACAGTCTGTAGAAGAGAAAGATGTTAAGTCATCAACATGTGGGAAGAGCCGTCCAGGTACAAATAAAGCCCAGAACTTCACATTATCTCTGTTTTCTTTGAACCTCTCAAAACCCAGAAGTTTTCACCAATGTAATAACAAGCTGTCTGCTGTCAGTAAGTATCATAAACCAACTAACATCTTCTGTTTTTGTTTAAATTCTTACTAGCCACTCGTGAGCAGCCATCTAAGATACTCCACTGGTCTCACCTGGTCAGGAGCAAGGGAGAATGATGAAAACCAAAGACACAGGGAAAGATTAGTCCAAAGGACTAATGGACCACAACTACCACAGCCTCCACCAGACTGAGTCCAGGACAACTAGATGGTGCCCAGCTACCACTAAACTGCTCTGACAAGGATCACAATAGAGGGTCCTGGAAAGAGCTGGATCAAAATGTAGAACAAAATTCTAACTCAAAAAAAAAGACCAGGACTTACTGGCCTGACAGAGACTGGAGAAACCCAAAGAGTATGGTTCCCGGACACCCTTTTAGCTCAGTGATAAAGTCACTCCTGAGTTTCACCCTTCAGCCAAATATTAGACAGGCCCATAAAACAAAACGAGACTAAAGGGGGACATCAGCCCAGCAGCAAGGACTAGAAGGCAGGACGGGACAGGAAAGCTGGTAATAGGGACCCAACGTTGAGAAGGGAGAGTGCTGACATGTTGTGGGGTTGGTACCCAATGTCACAAAACAATATGTGTACTAATTGTTTAATGAGAAGCTAGTTTGTTCTATAAACCTTCATCTAAAGTACAATAATGAAAAAATTAAATAAATAAATTCTTACTAGCCAGATCTCATTTCTTTCTATCTGTGGCTAATTTTTTTGAGACACTTAGCTAAGATTATCTTAATTTATACCTGTAATTTTGTTACTAAGTGAATTGTGGGTTTATATGAATCTAAAGCATCTCTGACAGAATAAAACTAGAATAAAAAATATCAAGCAACACGAATTATTCCTTAATTTGATACGCTGAAAATAGCTTATAATGGGAATTTCCTTTATAGTTTCTGCCAGTTTGAGAGAGGTCTAAGATTTAGTTCCCCATGTTTGTTCAATCCTCATCATCATCATTTTGTTTAGAGAAACTTTAAATCTATATTCATCAAAGCAATTCTCCTCAGGCATTCTGACACTTCGTGAAATGCTAATTTATTTGCCTGCATAGCTAGCTGCCTAGAATTCACACCTTCGTGGTCCCTGCAGTAGATATTTTTGTACCCACAAGAACATTTGTACCCAAATTGAGACAAGGTATAAAAATAAGCTCCTGGAGAATAGGAGGGTGGAAGTAGCCCTTGCCAATAATTTATCTTGGATCTCAGAAAAATACACATGGTGGTAATGAATTTTATATAGATGAAACATTTAGATTATAAGTGAGCCAGCTTTTTCTAGACGCAAAGAAATACAAGCTAAACATTTGCATAGAAGGTGTTCTGTGGAGAGGAAAAGAAAAAGGCTATAAAACTCTAACCAGGTCACTTCTAGTGTCCATTCAGCTGTAGATTAAGTGATGTTAAAGTGCTTAGCACAAATGGCTGTAATAATATTATTATTTTGCCAACACTTAAGTGAAAAAACACAAATAACAATACAGTATGGCAGAGTGGAAAGGGTTTCAGCATCAAATGACCTCAGTTAATACCTAGTCCTACCACTGGTAACTAGCGTGGTACTATGTCCCTGAGGGAGGGCCATTTGGAAATGTTAGAGGGTGTTTTAGGTTATCACAATCATTGGAGTTTGGGTGTGTGGGGGGGTAAGGGGAATCTACTGGCATTTGGTGAGGTAGGCTGCAGAGATGTTAAATCCCTCAGTGTGTAAAACAATCTCACACAAAGAATTATTGTCTCACCAAAAATGTCAATACTGCCTATGGTAGGCTTAATAATGGCCCCCAAAAATTGTCTGCATACTAATTCCTGGAACCTGAAAATATGTTAATTTACGTGGTAAAAGGGATGTGATTAAATAAAGAATCTTCAAATGTGGAGATAATCCCAGACTATCCAGGTGGGCCCAATGTAATCACAGATGTCTTTATAAGAGGGGGTCAGAGGGAGATTTTATTACAGAAGAAGAGAAGGCCAGGTGATGATGGAAGAGATTAGAGAGAGATGGCGCTAAGGAATACCAGCCTCTATTAAGACTCGTTTCAGACTTCTTAGCTCCAAAACTGTAAGAGAATGTTTGTGTTGTTTTAAGTCCTAAATTTGTAGCAGTTTGTTACAGCAGCAATAAGAAACTAATATAGTGCCCCTGTTAAGAGATACTGAAAGAAGCTTATGCACACTTATGCCCTTTCTGAGCTTCAGTTTCATTATCTATAAAATGGTGATGTCACCAAGCAGAACTGCTGTAAGGATCAAGATAACTTAAGTAAAATATATAGCATATAACCACACCAAGGAGCCCTGGTGGCACAGTGCTTAAGAGCTTGGCTGTTAACCAAAAGGTCAGCAGTTCAAATTCACCAGGTGCTCCTTGGAAACCCTATGGGGCAGTTCTACTCTGTCCTAAAGGTCGCTATGACTCAGAATCTACTCGACAGCATCAGGTATCCAAACCAAACTCACTGCCATCAAGTTGATTCCGACTCATAGTGACCCTGTAGGACAGAGTAGAACTGTCCCATAGGGTTTCCAAGCAGCAGCTGATGAATTTGAACTGCCAACGTTTTGGTTAGCAGCTGAACGCTTAACCACTGCACCACCAGGGCTCCATATAGCATATAAACTAAAACCAAACCCGTTGCTGTTGAGTCCAACTCATAGCGACCCTATAGGACAGAGCAGAACTTGGAAACTCGTAGGGTTTCCAAGAAGTGGCTGGTGAATTCGAACTGCTGACCTTTTGGTTAGCAGCCAAGCTCTTAACCACTGTGCCACCAGGGCTCCATATAGTATATAGTATTCATTAAACAAATGGCAGCTTTTTATTTATAAACATATATTTCTTATATAGAGGTGTTTTGGGTTCATGGAAAGTTTCAAAAAACTCTATTTTTTAATATTTTCAATCAATATAAGCCCCTTTTAAAAGGGTGAGAATTTATGGAAATTGCACATAATTAATAGCAAGAAACACATTATTCAAAAAAGTAATAGTATCATAAAAATTACCTCTAGAAAAGTTTTATTCTTGGGTACAATTTTTTGCCTGTAAAATAAAATGTGCTTGAGAAGGAAAGGCAACTTATTTAAGCTGGCCTATTTTTACAAATCTCTAGTATTTGTTCCCTCTCCACACACTAAAGACCACAGATTAAATCATGCCTCCCCTTTTCAAGAGCACATTCCCATGGGTTAAAAAAAGGAAGGATAATTTTGCCCTCATAAAATGCTAATTTTTTTAGTGGAAAGTTTCCCACGTCATCCTTGTGATGGGATGCTGATATAGCATTGCTGATATGAATCAAGTCCCAGACCCAGGAAACCTTATATTTATCTCTCGTATCACAGGAAGCAGTGGAACCAGGCCTCTCTAAGGCAATTTCCCACAGGTTCAGAGATCAGGTTAAAATTTGCCACATATTAGCCCACTTATTATAAAATGTCTAACCTCATCAATCCATCTATCCATCACCGTTGACTTGATTACAACTCTTAGAGACCCTATACGACAGAGTAGAACTGTCCCATAGGGTTTCCAAGGCTGCAATCTTTATGGAAACAGACTGCCATATCTTTCTCCTGCAGAGCGGCTGGTGGGTTCAAACCACTGACCTTTCAGTTAGCACATGAGCGCCTAATCACTGCACCACCAGAGCTCCTTACCTCATCAATAGTATCATTCAAAATAAACATCTTTCTATGGACATTCCTATCATTTTAGGTTCTCACTTTGCCTAGTTCCCTCACATTGCACCTTCTTAAACCTTTGTCATGAGAGTAGATGGACTGGGAACAAGGATAGAGGAAAACTGTCCAAGAATCATGTGCTCTAAACTTGAAGCTTTCCTTCTTTAACTATTATGCCATATTCTATATGTAGCAAGTAATAGTTCTGTTACTTAGTCACATGTCAAATTGTTTATTTCCTCCTTTTCAATTGGCAAGGAAAAGAAGTTTTCAGTATGGAGGTACAACAAATCTCATCTTTATTTTCTACTCTACAGACTCCTTTAATATGCTCATGTTCCTTTTTCCATATTTACTCAACAAACAGCCACTCACGCAAGCTTATCCATATATCATTTGTGGGACTTGGAAGCTTTTAGCAATTAGCAACAAGGAATTGACTATTTCTCAAAGGCCCTTGTACTCTCTAGAATCAAGGGACAACATGATATATTATTTCTCATACACTGTTACAGAACATGTCATCACTGTCCTCATTTCTATACTAATAAGCAGCTTTTTAGGACTACTACCAAAAACGTAAGAAAGTTCACCTCCAGAACTATATGTTTGTACTGTTTTAAATCCTACATTTGTGGCAACTTGTTACAGTAACAATAGGAAACTAATATGGTTAATTTCTCTAAGTTCCTTAAGTTCTCTAAAAAGGGTGGATGGATCCCTCCAAAAGGCTAATGGGGAGGGGTTTCTTTCCAGGTAAACTATCTCCCATCAGGGTTCAGAAAGGTCACTAATGTCGTCACAATCCAAGTCCCAAAGAGGCATGAGAAAATGGGATGCACAGAGAAGAAAGGAGATGTAGATGTCTGAGGAAAGCACGTATTGGAAGGAAAAGGCAGAGTAACAAGATGAGTATCTGTCCGTTACCTACCTAGGTTGAGAAAAGTAATACCCTTTGTCACATGTGAGTCAGCACTCCCAAGAGCAGCGGTGAAGGTTTTGCTATGCCCTGAAGAAAGAGTACAGGGTGTGAAAGAAAGAACGTTAAGAAACAAACAGTGGTACTTCCAACCAAGGCAATGACGCTATAACACTCTCAACACTTTGTGGCTGTGAAACTGATAAAGCAAGCGTATCTTCAAACTTCTAGATTTCATGGTTTCCCATCACTCTCCAAAAGACAGCACTGAAGGTTGATCATCTGGTGTGGTCACAACCTAGTAGTTGTTCTAAGCTCATTTATAACCTTAGAGGGTGGTTTATACAAGGAAGGCAGGATCCAAAGAAGTATACTTCCCTAAGTACACTCCATCTCCAGGATGATGACCAGGTGGCTCATCAGCCCTCATGTCTCAGGGCTAACTGTCACACACTTGTCTTTAAGACCCTCTGAGACTTCTCCAGGTCACTCACAAATCCCATTTTTAGTTAGAAAATAAAGTATTAGACTGTCTACTAAACTCAGCCTATTGGGCTTCACACTTCATTTTTCCAACTCTTTATCTTCAGCAAAGTTTTATTTACTGGTTTTAATCATTAGATTTATCATTAGAAAAATGTGTGAAAACTTTCCACAAAAACCTCAAACTTAAACTGTTTAAGCATATATATATATGTACAGTGCTGAAATTACTTTTGGTTTCTCCATTATTGAGAAGGTTCTTAAATTTTTTACCTAGATCTCTAACCTCTGAAGGTAATATTAGACCCTCCTGTAGAATAACAAACTCTTGTGCAAGCTGGCATACAATTTTTTAAATATTGACCAAGATCTATCTTTTAAAAATTTTAACTCCATCCACAGTATGTACCCCCCAAATACTAATTTTAAGGAACGAAACAGACAAAATAAATATTCTTTAGCACTGGTTCAGTCTAAAATTACTAAGGGTCGAGCTGTGGCCTATCACAGAATTAGAAAAGGCTGGGCATTTCATTCCTGCTCCCCAGCCTGACTGTCAACATATCAATTTCCGGGCCACAGATGCGTAAAATGGAGTAAACAATATGCTGAGTTCCTGGAGGCTTTTAACTAAAACCCTATGTAACTTTGTGAATTAAATCTACAGAGACTTTCCAATTAGCAGTAATAAAGAGCAAACATACTTTGTGCAAATATGTCCATTAGGATTGGTCCACAGGCATAGAAAAAGTAGGCCAGGATCAAAAAATACAGCAGATAAAATACTTTAGCTTACTCAGTATTCACCATTACTAAATTTCTTTAGGAAACATGTACTATCAAAACACCTATACTTAATAGCAATGGAAGGCACAGAATGGACTAATAAAATTCACTGCAAAGAAATAAGACTTTAAAATGTTTCTGCTAATTTGCTACTAATTTGAAAAAGTGGTTATGTAAAAGTAAGCAAGAAATAAGAACAAATTAAAAATACCTTTATGAAAGTAGAACACCGAGTATGTGATTTGTTTCCCAGAGTCAAACTTCGGGCTGTAGCATACACATAAGCTTCCTAGAAGTAATGAGGTATTTAATACAGTTTAAAAGAAACTATGTAATAAAAAAAAAAAAGAGTTTCCTAAGGCACTTAACCTTACTTCTATTTCTTTAGAAGTCCTCCCTCATCAATAATCTCATAGATTATTCCCAAATTTTAGATGTGGTCTATTAACAAATTGCTAAGAAATTTCAATTCAACAATTATTCAGCACTCACTATAAGCAATGGACTGTGGTAGGCTATTGAAGGGTGGGAAAATAATATGAGATCCTGGAAGTCTAGAGAAATATCCAAAGCTTTATGAGATTCTCCTAACATAGATGTACTGCCATGCCCTCTTATCTAGCTTGTCTTCTGGTCATTTCCAATAGTTATGGACTTCAGTTTATTAAAATGTGTTATCGTTTTTCACATGAAGTTTCCAGTCTTGTTGTTGATCTAGATATAAAGGTAAACTGTGATCTACCTTATGTGGCAATAAGGGCAAACATCATGTGGTAGCCCATCTCCACCCATTTTCAGGTCACTGAGGATCTTGGCCAAAGGTCAGCTCCCAGCATAAGGTGGCCTTTCCAAATGACCCCTGGCCATCTTCACTTACCCCATCACTCCAGGTCACCCTCAGCCTTCCTACCTCCTTCAATGTGTAAAACTACACAGTATCTCTAGAAGCTGTTGCTACAAATGAGGACATTATGCTTGAACCCATACTTATATTCTAATGCTAACATTTATGTGATTAACTGAAATAGAAGATTCCAAGGTAGAAAGGAACTTGACAAAGTGTCAGTGTCTGGAAACCAGGTTTCTAATCCCAGAGTTTGTATTAACTAGCTGGGTGAATTCAATTATCGCTCTACTTCAGTGGTGTCAATGTTTCCTCTATTATACTCCACCAGTTACTTTATCAAAGAATCATGGATAAAATTAAAAAAAGAAAAGAACCCCATTTTTCCCTAAGAAGACTATTTAAGGACATTTATAAACATACTGTTACAATATTTATCATTTGTGACAATTTTTAATGACATTTAAAACTGCAATGTATTGTTAAGGTACATTTTATTGTAAAATCTTAAAAATATAAAACAACAAAAAAGAATTATTTTATCAGATGAAAATGGAAACAATCCTGTTAGGCGTAAAATTATTGTTATGGCTACTGAGCACATAGTGATAATAACTTTTCAAAAATTTACAGGTGATACAGGGGAAACTAGCACAACCTGTACAAGAAAAGGTCACGGAAGCCCCATAGACACATCCAAACTCCCTGAGGGACTGAATGGCTGGGCGGAGGGCTGTGGGGACCATGGTTTCAGGGAACATCTAGCTCAATTGGCATGACACAGCTTATAAAGACAATG